TGTCATACTCTTTGGTTCTTTCGGTAAATTCACGTAGATATAAATTAAAATAAATCACGACGTTTCGATTGCAACACAAGCGGTCGTCCTCAGGCGTAAAAAATATAATCCAGCAGTGGAACTGCTGAACCAGCGAGAGAGCTGTTACAACAAGAGGTTATATATGTGGCGATGGGCAAGCAAGCGGGGTCTGAGATGGAAAGGAATTCCATCCACGGACGTAAGTACGTCAGATTGTATTAATGGGGGAGATTAGTGAGAGAGGGATAAAGGGAGGGAGATTAGCATGAATGAGCTTCCATCGCCGCATAAGAGTATCATGCCTGCATATGTGCACAACAGCAGTGTTATTGAGAGATTAGCACCATGAGAGTGCAATCCAAAGGACATGAACATGAAAGTGCAACTTCTTGGTTCTTTCGGTAAAGTCACGTAGAAGGGAGTGCAATCCAAAGGACAAGTGAGCATGAGAGGTGCAATCCAAAGGACATGTGAGAGATCTAAGAGAGAGGCATAGAGAGAGAGACACACACAGAGAGTCGGAAATAACAGCTGACATAGGCAGGTAGGATGGACACATCACAGTAAGTTAAGACTTTACCTGGTTAATAACGACCTTCCAATGATTACTCAGTTTGTAGCCATATTCTCGGTTGAAGTTGTTTCTGTGTTTATATATCTCGATGGCTTCATGAACAAATCTCTGCAGGTACGCCGGTAGGTTTGCAGAGTACCTCCGACTTGGAAAAAGTTAATTTCGTGTGAGCCCACTGTGTTATGACAATGATCAGCCACGGCAGAGGTATTGGGTCTACCGTGTTTCAAATCTGCCTTGTGTTCGCGAACACGGTCCGAGACATGTCGTTTAATTTCCCCAATGTAACTGCTGCCGCAGACACAACTTAGTTTGTAGACACCAGGGTACTGCATGTCAGGAATGACATCCTTCACAGATGGGATCAAATCACAGATTTTGTGTACTGTATTGAATCGGACCTGGATTTGTGTTTGCTTAAGATTTTGTAAAAAAAGAATTGGTAACACCTGCTATGTATGGCAAGGTGATGGTTTTGATTGGGTCCTCAGATGGTTGTCTCCCCATGGTTGAGGATAAAGCTTTGCGGATTGTGTGGTCTGAGTAGCCATTCATCTTGAGGGCTTGGTGTACGTGCTCCAGTTCACTGGCTAGGTGGGGCTGTAGTGATATGATGAGGGAATTCTTTTGCGCCGGATGCTGGTGGGAATCAGGCTTTAGATAGCAATCCGTGTGGGTGGCTTTCCTGTAGACGGAATGTCCCAACGAGCCATCAGGCCTCTTCTCGATCAAAACATCAAGGAATGGTAGCTTGCCACCATTTTCCACTTCCATGGTGAATTTGATGGATGGGTGTATGGAATTGATGTGGTTGAAAAATTGGTTAAGTGCTGGCTGGCCATGTGGCCAGATGACGAAAGTGTCATCTACGTATCTCTTCCACAGGGAAGGATGTAGGGTGGATGTCAGGATGGCATCTGATTCAAATTTATCCATGAAAACATTCGCTACAACTGGTGATAAGGTATAACCCATAGGGGTACCTTCATTTTGTTTGTAGAATGTACCATTCCAGATGAAGTAAGTTTTGATCAGGCAGTTCCTCACCAAAGTTGGTACATCAGGATTCAGTCCCTGTTGGACCAAGTCTTCAATGATTGCTATGGTGTCAGGTACAGGTACCTTGGTGAACTCAAAGACTACATCGAAGCTGACAAACAAATAATCTGGAGACAGTTTTATTTTATTTTTCTACCTACGTGACTTTACCGAAAGAACCAAAGAGTATGGATTCCTGCAATCACGAAAGCTTCAAATCAAGATTTAGATTGTGATTAATAACTTTCAGTTTCAGTTAAACAAAAAATGTCATTAACATTTTTCCAATTCCGCGGGCGATTTCATTGAGCGAAATATAATAAAACAACAGCAACATGTCATCAATGCTCAACGAATCATTCGTGGATCGAGATGGTCACGTCGTGGTCAAGTGGCACTCACCCTCCTTTTTCATTGATTGGATAGGCGCCGTTTTTATTATTTAAAGTCAGCTTTTATCGTACGACATGAACAATTAATCAATTAGTTATTATGTCTTCGGCACTCTGTGTAAAAGTCACGAGTGAAAGCATTCCGCTAAATAATTTGTATTGCATTATCATACCTGTCAACCCCTTATTCGACCATTTCAGACCGCATTGGTCACCCCACGCATCCGACAAAGTCCCATTACAAGGGAGAAACACAAATAGACACACTTTGAAACGGCTTTACGCCGTATGGACCTACAAACTCAATTTCCCTGTACAAGAATACGGGGTAAACTGCATGGGTTAGCATTTATGCCATAAATTGAACTCAACAAGATGGCCGCTTGGCAACAGACCCACTCAGCCCCGGTTGTTGCCGTGCACGTGCTGGAGTAGGAGGCGATCGCATGGTGGTGGGGGGTGGTGGGGGGTGGGGGGCTGGTGGTGGAAGGTGGGGGGCTGGTGGTGGTGGGTGGGGTGTGGTCAGAGCCGGCCCTAGACCTTTGGGGGCCCTAAGCAAAATTTGGTTGGAGGCCCCTTTGATGTATGATTTTTTTCACCCACTAGCCAGCAGTGACTCTAGGGGGCCCTCTGCTGGCCACGGGGCCCTTTGCAATTGCAAGGGTCGCTTAGTGGCTGGGCCGGCTCTGGGTGTGGTGGGGGTGATGGTGGTGGGTGGGGGCTGGTGGTTGGGGGTAGGGGCTGGTGGGGGGTGGGGGCTGGTGGGGGCTAATGGGGGCTGGTGGGAGGTGGTGGGGGGATGGTGGTGGTGGGGGGTGGGGGCTGGTGGGGGGTGGGGGCTGGTGGTGGGGGGGGGGGTTGGTGGGGGGACCTGGTGGGGGTGGTGGTGGGTTGGGGCTGGTGGGGGTGGTGGGAGCTAGTGGGGGCTGGTGGGGGGTGGTGGGTGGTGGTGGTTGGGTTTAGGGACTGGTGGGGGGTGGGGGCTGGTGGAGGGTGGTGGTAGTGGGTGGTGGGGGCTGGTGTTGGTGGGTGGTGGGGGCTGGTGGTGGGTGGGGGTGGGGGCTGGTGGTGGTGGGGGCTGGTAGTGGTGGGTGGGGGTGGTGGGTGGTGGGGGCTGGTGGTGGTGGGGGCTGGTGGTGGTGGGTGGGGGCTGGTGGTGGTGGGTGGGGGCTGGTGGTGGGGGATGGTGGTGGTGGTGGGTGGGAGGGGCCATGGCCGTGACGTGTGGGGCAGAGGCGGCGATGCTGCCCCACGTGCCGGGAAGTGAGACCGGCGCCGACTTCCGTCCTCACGACAGAGGCGAAGCGGTCGCTCTCCCCCCACTCTCTCCCCCCACTCTCTCTCTCTCTGTGCTCTCCCCACTCTCTCCCCGCTCTCTCTCCCCCCACTCTCTATCTCCCCACTCTCTCTCCCCCCACTCTCTCTCTGTGCTCTCCCCGCTCTCTCCGCCACTGATCTCCGCTCCGTCTCCGCCTCGGTCACGCCGGGGAAGCCCCTCAGCTACTGCCACGCTCCGCGGTCACCACCGGCGCAGTATTCAGCTGCTCTGAAGGTTCCGACACACGCCGGGCACACACACACCCCCTCTCTCTGTCTACCACTCTACATCTCTCTCTACATCTCTCTGTCTCTACATCTCTCTCTCTCTGTCTACCACTCTACATCTCTATCTACATCTCTCTGTCTCTACATCTCTCTCTCTACATCTCTCTGTCTCTACATCTCTACATCTCTCTCTACATCTCTCTGTCTCTACATCTCTCTACATCTTTCTGTCTCTACATCTCTCTACATCTTTCGTCTCTCTCTCTCTCTACTTTGCCTGTCAGCGGTGCAGCTCACGGCCACCAACACCACAGTGACGATTACCTGAACCGGTCCTGGGCCTCCCCTAGGTCGACTCAGCCTCAAACGAGTACCCGGCGCGCTGTGTAAACACCGCCACTGTGGGAGACAAAGGCGGCCGGGCGTGGTGCTGGCCACCCCCCCCCCCCCCCCTCGTGTGCCACAGCGCCGGTAAACTAAACAATGTTGTGTTTCTCCCCTGGGATGGGCTTTGTAGGATGAGCGTTTGAGATTTATAAAGGCACGGGGTGACCAATAAGATCTGAATTGTTCTGTAATATAGGTATTGATAAGGGGTTGACAGGTATGGTTTAGTATAGTGTATAGCAGAGCAGTCAACCCATACGATTTACCTCGTATTCTTGTACAGGGAAATAAAGTGTCAATTTGTGTTTCTCTCTTGTGATTCTAGGATGAACATTGTGATGTATAAGGTTACAGGGTGACCAATAAGGTCTGAAATTGGTCTATAACAAGTTCGTAGCCATGGAGTCTACATTGGGGGGAACCAAATCTTCCAGGGGGTCTGGGGGTCCCCCCCCCGAAAAAAAATCTAGATTTGAAACGAATTTCCTGCCTAAAATATTTCAAAATTCACTAACATGGGATGGACTTTTTATTTTATTTTTTACAATAACGCATAATAGTGTATTGTAATACATTGCTCTGTTTTTTTATTATTTTACCTTTTCTTGTTTCATTGTATGTATTTGCAGAGATTAATGATGAATAAAGTACAACCATATATATTATTATAATTACGGCCTGGGTCTGTAATAAGGTAAGGACACTGATAAGGGGTTGACAGGAATGCCTACGTCTCTTGTGTAACGCGTTGACGCTCTCGTTAAGGAGTTGACTTGTTCGTCATGTCGCTGCAAGCGACTTATAATACAAAGGGCTATTGCATTTGGTGATGCGTTTTCGGTTTGAGGATACGGTTTCGATTTGTGTTCTGTAAAATGTTACGAGGTTAAGCGTTACACCTTCGTTTGTAGTTCCTTGTGGTATGTTTAAGCACTTGCTGGCATCCCCGATTGTATTGAATTACAGCGAGAGAGCAGAACGGCGGTGGGTGAGCGACCTCGCTGACTCCTGTTAAAGACAAGTCACGCGAAATGATCACCCGTAGTCGGCTTGGACTTCCAGGTGCTTGGTTTGCCGATAGTCGACACTAAAAATGGTACCGCGGGGGGAGATCGATAGCAGAGGGTTGGCGATATTTCCATCCAGCAGTGAATTTATCGGTGGTTTCCTTATTTATCTGGCACGTGCGTGTGGTGTGTGTGTGCCGAGCCACACGCATCAGCAGCAGCAGCAGCAGCTATCGTCATCTGCAGAGAATGCAGTGAATGTAAAGTTGGGTCTTCAACAATCCCCGTCTCTTTGTGCATGACCGCTCAACACGGTTCAGGTTGTCACTTTGCAGGCTCGCTGGCACGCGACAACATCAGCAGCAACAGCAGCAGCATCAGTAGCAGGCCTTGGCCGGATCTGGACCTGTTTCAGCAGTGGGGGGGGCATGCTACGGGACCAAAGATCAAACCAACCCTGGGCGGGTTGATCAGAATCCGAATATTTATTCATACTGGAGGAATCCGATGAGCTATCAAGCTATTTTTCACCGTTGTTCCAGCAGATTGCTCGTTGACGATGAGAGCCGTTCCCCCCGTGCCACAGTGTCTCCTTGTTGACTCGTCCTGGCGTGGCGCGTTGATGGTCCACAGTGCCGTGATGACAGGCGGGCGAACGGGGGCATCTTGCCCAGCTCAAGAAAACTTTTATTTTACCAGATTAGGCCCACTGAGCTGTGTAGGTCTTTTTCAGAAGCGTGACCGGGCCACAAATGACAGCTCAACGAAGTGGCTTATCGCGTCGAAATTTATAGCAGCCAAATACTCTCAACGCGTGTTTAAAATGTGGAGGGGAAAACCGGAGGACGCGGAGAAAAATCCACACGACCACGGGGAGAACATGCAGACTCCAAATATACAGCAGGCGTGGGGGTCAGGATCAAACCCACGACCTCCTGCGTACCAGGCGATGGAGAATAACACCTTGTCACTGTGGCAATGCACAGCGGCGGACTTGGGTCGGCTTGACTCTTCCCCATTGGGGCGCCAGTCGTAAACTCACGCCGTTTGATTGCGCCGTGGTGGCTAGATGTTGTCTCCCTCGCCTGGTATACCAGAGGTTGTGGGTTCCATCCTGATGCCTGATGTATATTTGGAGTTTCCATGTTCTCCCCGTGGTCGTGTGGATTTTTCTCCGGGTCCTCCGGTTTTCCCCTCCACATTTAGAAACATGCTTTTACAGTATTTGGCTGCTATAAATGTACACGTGATAAGCCACTAAGTTGAGCTATCATCTGTGGTCAGGTCGCTTCTGAAAAATTGCTTTATAGCTCAGGGGGCCTTACCTGGTAAATATATATTTTTTAAGTACCAAGATTGTGTTCTTTGGCTAATGGATGTTTCAATCATGATTTGTGTACCTTTTTAGCGTCAATCATAGAGACTTTACACTTCTCATTGGTTTGGATGAGGGTGTTATTTGTGTGTTTGTCAGGGCCAGGACCTTGTCTTTTGGAATGAAAGGTCACGTCGTTAAGTGGCATTTTCTTCTTACGTAAATGTAGGGTTCAAGTTCAATTCTGTATGCGCACTTTGAAACGTAGTGCAAGAAGATGGGGACTTAAGTGGCCATGCAAAGTACTTGTTTCGTTGTAAACGACGGCTGTAAAGATTAAAATGCAGTGCAACTCCTCTCATCTAACATGGTGTGCGGGATGCATGTTCTGGCAAAGTTTTCTTTCCACATCTCAAATCTGTGATGTTTCTAATTCATCTCCCTGCACGTGTTCTTGTACATCACGATGGTTTCTCCCCCCATGCATCTCCAATGCGTCGCTAATAATCTCTGCCTTCCTCTTCCTGCGTGATTTGGTCTTTCCTGCCCATGCTGGATTTCTGTGAAATAAGAGCTTCATAGCTCAACGGATTTTTCCAGGATAAATAACGATTCTCAGAAAAGATTCCGATTATTTCATTCCGCACACCTTTCATTCCGCACACCTCCTTCCACCATGCCTTTCAGCCCCCAGCTGCGTATCATTCGCAGGTTTTGCTGTGTCTCTCTTAGATCTCTGCTTACTCTTTGGTTCTTTCGGTAAAGTCACGTGGAAATAAAATAAATATTAGAATACGACGTTTCGATTGCAACACAAGCAACCGTCATCAGGTGTGAATGAATGCAAGCTCGGAGAGAGACACATATACAGAGAGAGACATACAGAGAGAGAGACACAGAGACACACACATGGGGGAGAGACACCTATACAGAGAGAGAGACAAACACAGACACGGAGAGAGACATACACAGAGAGAGTGAAACAGAGAGAGAGACACATGGGGGAGAGACACAGAGACACACGCAGAGAGAGACACAGACACACAAAGAAACAACGCCTCTGTGACGAGGCATTATATATAGAGAGAGGGGGGGGCAGAGAAAGTAGCATGGCAATGAGAGCAGTAGGGGGAGAAGCGTCGTATTCTATTATTTATTTTATTCCCACGTGACTTTACCGAAAGAACCAAATAGTAATTCCTGCAGTCACGAAAGCTTCAAATCTCACTGCTTCTTTAATTTGTATTATTTCCCCCACGCCTTGGCTACTGCTTCTGCATCCTTTAACTAATTGCATGCTGACTGTTGTACTTTTGTGTAATCCATTACACTGTACATTTTTATTTGGTGAAGGATATGCGCATCACATTACCCCCCCCCCCCCCACGCTTTCAGTGGAAGCAGGGAAACCCAGCCATTTGAATTGGTCATTAGCTGATAAAAAAAACATGCTCCATTCACCTGTTCATTACCATTATTGGCAGGCACATTGAAGGTTTGTACTGCTTAAAACAAAATGCATCTTAATAAAAGGGTTTTTCCTCTTTTTTTCTGGCAACAAAACTGCAACCTTTTTACGAGGAATCATGTGTGCATTAACCACAATACTTGTGGCAAAGGAGATCTAATGATATAGATGCTTACCCCGAGCCCTCATTATTTTGATAGTGCATTGTCTTTGAGCTGTACGCCTTTTGGCGTCCTCTGGTCTAGCACCAATTGAAACGAGGCTCAAAAGAAAGCCGTCTCTGGTGTGGACCAATCAGTTTCAAAGACAATGCATATATTATCAGTGCGTTTTTGTTTGCATTTTGACCACAAGTATTGTGGTTAATGAAGACATGAATCCTTGTAAAAGGTTTCAGTTTTGTTGCCAGAAAAAAGGGGAAAAACCCTTTTATTATAATATTTTGGTCCTGGCAAAGGAGGTCTAATGATGTAAATATGCATCTTCTAAAGCAGGGGTCTGCAACTTGCGGTTCCGGAGCCGCATGCGGCTATTTAAGCACTACTTCGTCACGTTTATCTAGGACCGTCTCGTTTTGTCGTGCATTGCGACTCTTGAAATATTACGGGTTTTTTTATTCGAACAAATTTCTTTTTATTTTGGTTGCTGACCCCTGTTCTAAAAGGTATGTTGTTAAACAGTTCCTGATCGGTGCTCGCCCAGCTGCATTGGCTTCCAGTCGCCGAACGAATACATTATAAGGTTGCACTCATTACACACAAAGTTCTTGCCACAAATCAACCACAATACCTTGCTGATCTCGTCAAGGAGCATAAAGCATCACGCGAACTACGCCCATCATCACAGCGGCTTTTGAATAGTCATCAAATATAATACGGTCACTGCATCGCGCGCTTTCAGATGCGCTTCTATTATCATCTGGAACGCTCTTCTTTCCGAGAAGAGTCAAGCCGATCCAAGTCTGCCGCTGTGCGTTGCCACGGTGACCAGGTGTTATTCTCTCTCACCTGGTACACAGGAGGTCATGGGTTCGATCCCGACCCCAACGCCTGCTGTATATTTGGAGTCTGCATGTTCTCCCCGTGGTCGTGTGGATTTTTCTCCGCGTCCTCTGGTTTTTCCCTCCACATTTTAAACACGCGTTGAGAATATTTGGACTGCTATAAATTTCGACGCGATAAGCCACTTCGTTGAGCAATCATTTGTGGCCCGGTCGCGCTTCTAAAAAAGAGCTACACAGCTCAGTGGGCCTAATCTGGTAAACAAAAAGTTTTCTTGAGCTGGGCAAGATGCCCCCTACCCCTCCGCCCGTCTGTCATCATGGCACCCACCGACACCACTGTGGACCAACGCGCCATGCCAGGATGAGCCAACAAGGAGGCACTGTGGCACGGGGGGAGCGGCTCTCATCGTCACTGGAACTATGCACTTTCAAGTCTATATTTAAAACTAATTTTCTTTAGAACTGCATTTTGTGTTTCGTTTGTTGTCCTTCCCCCGCACCTCTGGTTAGCATGGTTGGCTACGTACTGAGCGAAAAAGTTCAACACGCAAACATCTGTGCACATTCTGTTGAACAGAAAGGGATCAGTATGAAGGCCAAGGTAACAACGGAGATTCTCAGGCGCTTGCGCAATGCCATGAAGGACCTCCACCTGACAGCCGAGCCGCTTCAAGCACTCATCGTGCCATCGGGAGATGCACATCAGGTAATTTGACGCTTGTGCACACGTGTGTGCCTCCTAGGGCTGTATTGCCCATTTTGTATCGATGCAACAAATCTGAAAATCTGGCTTGGATAAGTAATCTTTGATGATCCAAAAATCTTTGTTTTCGGAGTGATCAGAAAGTATAACATCACCGGAAATTGTCACATGTTTTATGTCACTTCCGTGCTTTTCTCATCACAAGTGCCGTCACATGGCATCAACTGACACCACTAATCTTAGTACAAAGACACGTTACTTTATTATAGAATGTAAATTACCTACATAAAGGCGCGTGGTAGTGCTTGCATACACATGTGGTGACTCTACAAATTTGATTTGTATAGTAGAGACACCATGGTGGCTACATGTTATAAATACCTCGCCTGGTAGACAGGAAATTGTGGGTTCGATCCTGACCCTCACACCTGTATAATTGCATGTTCTCTCCGTGGTCGCGTGGATTTTTCTTCAGGTCCTTCGGTTTTTCCTTCCACATTTTACAAACATAAATAATTTAATTGAGCTGTCACTTGTGGCCAGGTTGCTTATAAAAATAGCTATATAGCTCAGTGGACCTTACCTGGGAAAATATAAATATTTTAGTTTAAATGATGAAATAGGCTTTACCCTTCTTGGCAATACAACAGTTGTGTTAAGATGTCCAAACACCAACTAGATGCCTATTTCAAGGCATCAAGTCTGCATCAACCACACACAGTACTTGTGGCAAAACATGCAAACAAACGTGCTCTGATAGTAGTACATTTTTTTCCCCGTGTCCCACACTCAGCTTCCCACTTCCAGCCCCGCCCACTTCCCAACCCCAGTCTCACGTCCTCTTCACCTAGCGCTCACGCAGCCCCTCCCTTCCCCTACCCCCCCTCTCTCTCTCCCCCCTTGCCTCCCCCTTTTCTTACCTATATAACCTCTTGCCACGGCAGCTCTCTCGCCTACTTCAGCATTTTCTTGCTGTGGCTGTCACACCTGATGAAGATTGCTTGTGTTGCGATCAAAACGTCGTGATTTATTTTACTTTATTTTATTTCTACCTACGTGACTTTACCGAAAGAACCAAAGAGTATGGATTCCTGCAGTCACGAAAGCTTCAAGTCGAGAATGCTCTGATAACATATGCATTGTCTTTGAAACTGATTGACCTACACCAGAGACCTTATGTCCTCGTCTCACTCCTCGTGTTAGACCAGAGAATTCCAAAGGGTGAACGGTACAAGGGCAATGTTTCAAAGTATACTCGCTCAGGTTGAGCAGTTATATCTATGGGACCTCTTTGCCAGTATCAAAATGAGTTTATTTAGTCATTCTTATTTTTTTGTATTACTGTTAAGTTTTAAAAACAATTATTGTTTAAAATTAGATATTATATATAATGTAATGACTGCACCTTCAGTTTCCAGGTTTTGTGCATTTACATACATACATTCATTCATGTAAAACATTCACATACACATATATAAAGACACAAATCACCCATATAGCCTTTAACAGACTGTTGAGTCAACAGTCTGCTGCGCTGGATACTCACGACGAGCTTGAGCGAAGTGTCGGCCGTGCGTGAACACTGGACTCGTGGACTGAAACAAAATGCATATCAGCGGGGCACAGAGCTATACGCAGCAGTTCCGTAGATGTGTAATGAAGCAGATTAATATTAACAACTCTTTGTGAGTCTATTGCTGGATGAAGGCCTTCCCGTGCAGCGTTGGCTATGGGACGATACTTCGCACTTTTCACTGTGGGGACAGAAGCTCAGGGACGAGTTCGGACATCACTCGCCACTGATGTTACCCATGGCTGGGTATTGAACTTCGGTCGGTGGTTTCAAAGCGCAGCGCGTTAAGTGCTGTCCCGTGGCTCCTCCCTATAGTGTGTACACAGGTTCAGATAGACTCCTGCATCAAACACAATTTTATTCATTTTTAAAAGCCATTTTGACTGAAAATGTTACTTAATATGAAACATTTCACTTGCAGGCTTGTCCATTGTCACTCTAGAATACGTCTATCAGATGAAGAAAAGAAAAAACGGGAGTGTATCAGTGAAATGTCAGAAGCTCATGTGATTTGACAATGTTTTAAGTTCTTAGGGTGCATGAAAATAGTATTGCCGACCAAAACTATCATTCTGTTGCATTCAGACACGCTATAAGCCCGTATTGGAGGAAAAAATAAATTATGCGGAAGGAACCCTACCGCAGAAGGCTCATTAAAAATGGTTCCCTGAGTGCTCATCCTTGACTTCAATTAGAATAAAAAAGTATTCATCCAGAATAAATAAAATCCACAAATGGATCTTGCAACATAAGAAACGGTTTTGTTCAGATTTTTTTGGTTTAAAAACATTTAATTTGGACACTGGTTGGAGAGATGCTTTGTCTCCACATTTTCATGGCACAGAAAACATTATTGATGACGGTACAGGAGCAGGGCATTGAGTACAAGAGGAACACGTGTTTTATGTAACGAGAATAAGCGTGGTACATCGGTAAATGTGCTAGTCTCCACTGCATACTGCTTATGTAATGGCTGTGCTCTCCTCGTTGTTTTTGCAGAGTGAGTACGTGGCCGACTGTGACTGCCGTCGCGCCTTCATCTCTGGTTTTGACGGCTCTGCAGGTGGGTTGAGTCTTTCACTTTAATCAGAATTTAAAAAATGACAACCAAAAGCTGTGCTGACGGCGGGAAAAGCAGATAGAGGCGCAGCCCTGTAATTGCTCGCTCGTGCCACTGCTGGCAGAAGGGGCCTCTGCTATGGGAAGCTCTTGAGAACCCCTCTAAGAGCGCATTTTGCCTACTCTTCCGAGCTGGCGTGCAACCCGCCAATCGACTGACTCCGGTGAAGCCATCTATACCGCTGGGTGGACAGGCGGTGGGGATTTGAGAAACTTGTGCCATTGTTTCAGATGCCACGCGTGCGCTAAGAGGTGTAATCGAACCAGCGACTGCTGGATTGCAAGTCCTGTTTGCTGACCATTACACCGTGGCAGTGTCCCGCTGAGAGTGGTGTACAAGCACAAGTAATGAGAAGCTAGCCACATTCACTTAACACAATTTGTTATAACAAGTAAAAATACTTTAGGCCTTTGTTAATGCCCCCCTCCTCAGAGTTACGAAAGGGCAGAGAGGTCGACTCGTTTATCGTGGGATTTATTTTTTGTTATCTCGTCACCCCTGGACATGGACACATCTCTTTTTATTACCGCTCATAACTTAGTAGCACACAAGCAAGTACCTAATTTTGAAACATCCGACGCAAAAGATGCCTGGTGTTGATCTTCCATGAAACTCATGATCCACCCTAAACCACACCCACTCCACAAACCATGGCAGCAAATGCTGATGTACAAATGGAAAAATAAAAACTCTCCAGTGTGCGACTGTGGTCATCCAGAACAAGGTATAACTACGCAAAGCCCGATCCACAAATATGAAGGAGACATCACAGCGATGATACACCACTCCGCTGCTCCTGACTCGGTTATCTGGCTTGACCACCTGAATGTGAAATTGTAGTTCTTTCTCTGCATCGACATCAGCCATACGAAAGAAGAAAATGTAATAGCAAATGGTATTAAAATCCATAGCATGGGACTCGCTAATATAACGTATAGGTGGATGTGCCTCCAGGTGGCTTGCGGTATGCACAAATGTTGGGAGCAAAAGTCACGACTCATTTGTGCATATAAAGTTGGCACCTAAGGAGAAAACTGCTATTTATATGTACTGTATATACACGTACAGTACATGCATGCTTGTTTGTGTTTGTGTGTGGGGAGCAGTAGCATTGCAATTAGCGCTCTGTGCTATGAACCCGTCACTGATATTGGCCCCGCGCACAACCAATGTCGGTGACAATTATCTGAACCAATCCTGGGCCTCCCAGAAGTTGACTCGACCTCTGAAGAGTACGTGTTGCGGTGTGTGTCAGCTTCGCCACTTGGGAGACAAAGGCGGCTGGGCGGGTGTGGTGCTGGGCACCCACCCCCTCATCTGCCTTGAAAACTAATTTCTCTAGAACTGCTTTTTGTGTTTAGTTTATTATCCTTCCCCCACACCTCTGATTAGCACAGTTGGCTACGTACGGTGAGAAAGAAGTTCGACATACAGAGTACATACATACTCGCAAATAGCACTCGCCCCAACAGTCTGTTAAAGCTACATGTGTTTGCGTGCAGGTATGGCGGTGGTCACAGAGGCCCAGGCGGCTATGTGGACAGACGGCCGCTATTTCCTGCAGGCCGCCCAGCAGATGGACAGCAACTGGACCCTCATGAGAGTCGGTGCGTTGCCGCTCGCTCCTTTTTCCTCGCCACAAATGAGCCGCAATAGCTCGCTGATGTCGTCAAGGAGCATAAACCTTCACACGAACACCAGTCATCCTCGCAGCGGCTTTTGGCTAACCATCGAACAAAGACGGTCACTGCATCGCGCACTTTCAAATGTGCTTCTGCGGCCGTCTGGAACGCTCTTTCTTCTGATATTAGGAAGCCACTGGAGCTTGCACTTTTCAATCTCGACTGAAAACTCATTTCTTTAGAGCTGCTTTTTGTGTTTAGTTTGTTGTCCTTCCCCCGCACCTCCGATTAGCATGGTTGGCTATGTACAATGCGAAAGAAATTCTACATACATACATACGTGAATCTTCGTCTAGTTTAACAGTGAAATGAGTGCCTTAGTTCATGCAGGGTATTTTACGTAATCTTTTACCTCCGTGTAGAAGGTTCTACATGAAAAGTGATACCCTTATTTGGCAGAAAAACGCTGCATCAGTGAAATGATTGCACCTCCGATTAGCACAGTTGACTAGAAGTTCAACATACATATGTATATTTCAGCAACACTCTCATCAGTGTTCCTCTGATATTATCTCTGTTTACTTCATGTGGAAACTAAGTTTTTGCCCCAGCTGGTGTTCATCCACAGGTGGGGCAGGGACTCAAGTAGGGTATGGACCAGTGTTCGTGAAGGGGGCTTGTGAGGTGTTTGTTTTCGGCCACTGAGCTGGCTGATAGCCCCTTTAGCCGAGAACAGGGGTCAGAAAACCAAGACAACAAGAAGAGCCATTTTTGTGTAAAGAATTCTGTTAAAAAAACCTCAGTATTTCAAGAGGGGCAATGCAACGTGAATACAAGATGGTGGGTCCTTAATAAATAACGGCACGAAGCGGCCCTTAGAAGAGCCGCATGCTGCTCTGCAGCCACAGGGTGCCGACTCCTGCTCCATGGTAAACCAGACTCCCATGGTAAACCAGACACCCATGGTAAACTGGACTCCCATGGTAAACCGCATTTCCATGGTAATCCGGACTCCCATGGTAAACCGGACTTCCATGGTCAAGGGTCAGCAACCAAAATAACAAGAGGCATTTTTTTATTCGGCAAAATCACACCAATATTTCAAGAGCTGCAATGCAGTCGTCAAAGAGCCGAACTGTGGCTCCGGAGCCGCAGATTGCCGACCCCTGGCCTAGAAGGTGCGATGGTCATCTTTACCCCAGGACTGTGCACATCTTGGCCTGTGCATTTCATTGATGAGGGGAGGTGTGGTAGTTAGCTAGGCATGTTATCCATGTTTCTGCTGGAGGTAACGTTTTGGAGAAGCTCCCCCTCCCCTTGTTTCCCTCTGATAAAAAAAAATCCACTCACCTCTGCTCACCTTGAGCACCTCCTGAACTCGTGTCCAGTGCGAGGGCACGAGTGGTTCACACTCACTTTGCCCTGAAATCCACCGGCTGGATTTACAACTTAGACCTCGATTCATCGTAACCACTCGGCTCGTATCAATATGACATATAGAAGTTAAATTTCGATTTAAAGCTTTCGTGACTGCAGGGATTCATAATCTTGGTTCTTTCGGTAAAATCACGTAGAAGGGAAATAATACAAAAATTTAAACGCCACTTTTTTTTTTCTTGCTGTGGTTTTCACACCTGATGATGATTGCTTGTGTTGCAATCGAAACGTCGTGAGAATTTTATTGTTTTATTTTTATTATTTTATTATTTCCCTTCTGTGTGACTTTACCGAAAGAACCAAGAAGATAGAAGTTACCTACTTTTATAATTACAGTTTAACATGATAAAGAGTATAGAGTGTTTTCCCTCATTCATAAGATGGTTAATTTATTTGTATTAAATTACTTTTACATCGTTATAGTGTGTTGGGGAATATATATATATGTATTGCCTTTAACTTGTAGCAATTCTGCCAGCTAAGCATTTGCTGGAAAACGTATCCAAAGGCTTCTTGAATGCTAGATCACCGAGTGTAATACCGGGATTAGTAACGAAACCTGCATAACCACTGTTCTCTTCTCTCTTAAATAAGGATGCCACTTAATTAATAAATATTAAAAATCACCACATGCATCAATACCATTGCCCCAAAAGGAAAACATTCATAATTGGCGATATTTTGAGCAATAGCCCTACTTCACAGCACATAGAGAGGAAGATAGACCGTATCTCTCTGGCCCGAAATGTCACCTATTATGAGATACTTTTCCTTTTGGGGCAGTGGTGAGCGTGCATTTGTTGAGTTTGTGTTGTTGTTTGTGCTTGTGCACCACCGCCAATGCAATATCACCAGGTGATGTGTTCACGTTTTATGAGGTTATCCCTGTCTCAAGTTTGACAGAGCTGTAATGTAGCGGTGGTCATATCAAGGTGTCCTGTTCCTATCTTGTGATCGCGACCAGCGTCTTCTCCTTCACATACCAGCCTGTGCAGTGGTCTACTTACTCTCGCATGCTTAATAGAATCTGAGCAATCTAAAATATGGACTCAGGTCCTTAAGGGATAAAACTCAACAGAAATTGGCCGAAAGGTAAAAAAATTGCTGGTGCACCGATTGCCTTGATCTGCCCTGCTTAATTTTACACAATGTACACTGTGTTCTCAAAATACGTGCACACACACGGACACTCAACAAACGAGATGACAGCACTGCATCATTTACATCACTGGTCAGTTTTAATTTCGCAAAAGTATTCATGAACCAGACCAATTACCGTATTCTTCACAATATAAGATGTACTTTTGTTCCCCCTGTATTTTAAATCAAAGGTTGTACGATGTGTCTTACAATTCAGTAGGTGGGTAACGATTAGGACGTTGTGCTACAAACCCGGCGACCTGAGTTTGATTCCCACTCTTGGCCAACACGAGTGACGATTATCTGAACCAGTTCTGGGCCTCCCCTAGGTCCACTCGGCCTCAAATGAATACCTGGTGCAATGTGTAAACTTCGCCACTGGGGAGTAAGAGGTGGCCGGGAATGGTGCTGGCCACAACCCCCCCCACCACCCACCCTTGTGTACCGGCCTCTGCATATACTCGCAAACAATACTTGCCCCAGCAGGCTGTTAAGGCTATACGGGGGATCTTTGTATGTATGTGTATGTATGTGTGTGACGAGAATTGTGTGTGACTTTATTGATAACGGGCACAAGTTTGGGCTTCGTCTTATTTTCCGGAGCGTCTGTTAATCTGGAGAACGGCTGTACAATTACCGCGAGCGTGGATTGATTCGTATTTGAGCGACGCCCTCCGATCTTTTGCACCCGTGTGCGTGCGTGCCCGCGTGTGTGTTGCGTGGCACTGCCCGCAGGCATCCAGGACACGCCCACATGGGAGGACTGGCTGCTCAGCGTTCTGCCCGACGGCTCGCGCGTGGGCGTCGACCCCTTCCTCGTCCCTGCCAGTGAGTCCACCATCTCCTTCACGGCGGGGCGTCACGCGCGTGGGACGCTCCTTGCGCTCACGTTGGGAGTTCCAACGGCGTTTAACCCTCGGGGTGCTCTCTGCCGCTAACATCTGGTGACGCAGCGAGGGTAGCATTTCAGAATCGGAATCTTTTAGAATCGTCAAAATGTTTATTTGTATCCTGGAGAAATCCGATGAGCTGATGAAGCTCCTTTTCACAGATGTCCAGTCGGGGCAGGTCTCAGAGTTACAGCAACAAACAACGCAATAGGAGTGCAAAGTATAGGAAAGCAAATCACTATAACTAAATACAATAGATCAAGTATATTTAAGTTCTTATTGCATAAGTTCACCAATTCCCAAGCTTGGGCAAGGCAGCAAAACAACAGCAAAACAGTTCTAGACCACACCAAGACAACGCACAGTCCCTCAACAAAATTTCACATACAAATGTAACTATCGATACATGGGTATGTATGACAGTTGCTTTCACAAAATGCTGCTACATAATATTGCTCTGGAAAGCCAATGGATTAATGGACTAAAATATATTTTATGTACATGATACAGAATAGAGTTTTGCATGTAAATGTTTTCATACTTATGTGGAGATGAGGGAAAAGTAATATTTTTTTTTTAAATCACAGTTACTGAGCACAGGTCTAAAGGTTCCAAACACTAAGTAGCCACAAACAAGCAAGGTTGAACATGTAACAAACAACGGTTCATACTAAACTAAAAATCTAAATTATTTTGTATTTTACCAGGTAAGACCCACTGAGCTATATAGCTCTTTTTCAGAAGCAACCTGGCCACAAATGATAGCTCAACGAAGTGGCTTTTACCATGTGGAAATGTATGACAGCCAAATACTCCAAACGCATGATTCAAAACGTGGAAGGAATAACTCGAGGACCTGGAGGACAATCCACACGGCCACGGGGAGAGAGACGTGCAAACTCCTGGTGAGGTAGTTAACGTCCACGCCACCGTGACACTCCTGATGGTTCTCCTGAAACCTTGGCAGGCACCTGGAAGTCCAGCTCGAAGCAGCTGAAGCGAGGAGGAATCCAGTTGGTGTCCACAAGCACCAACTTGGTGGACGCCATCTGGGACGACCGCTCCCCCCAGCCACAGAGCCCTCTTCTCGTGCTGCCTCTGAGCTACACAGGTGAGCTACACAGGTGAGCTACACAGGTGAGCTACACAGGTGAGCTACGTAGCCACTGGAACGATTGGGAAGCCGCTGGAGCTGTGCACTTTTAAATCGAGATTGAAACTAATTTCTTTAAGAACTGATTTTTTGCGTTTAGTTTGTTGTCCTTCCCCCGTACCTCCGATTAGCACGGTTGGCTACGTACGGTGCGAAAGAACTTCAACACGCAATCGTACAGCGATATTTGTGAAATTTAATGTGAAAACTCTTCTCTTAAGTTTTACTTCACCTGGAAATAATGTCGGTGACAATTTCTGGTTCACCGTAACATTGCAAACCATTTCAGCCAGTACAAGGGCCTTTGACATTTATTACTCCTATGGGACCCTCTTTGCCAGTACTCTATTAAGGTTATAAGAAGGCATTTCCTTTTATTGCATAAGTACAGGTGTTAAGATGTTTAAGCACCAAACAGACACCTATCACATTTCTGATACGCTGTAACATGGCAAGTCATTCCATCCAGTACAAGGGCACTGTGTCCTGTGAAATGTATTACTTCTGTCTTATCACACGGATGTATTTTGGCATTCAAGTTGGCGTCTGTTCCTGACAAGTGTTTTATGAAATGCATCAATATCCATGTCTGCTCTACGCTATAATGCAGCCCTCTTGACCGTACAGCGGCTGCCAATGTGCTCGATGGCTTACGTAAGATCTATCTGTACTTAGTGAATTGCTTTCGCCACATGCAAGGGGCCGTCATCATACCGTTACATAAAATGGAATAAAAAATAAATAAATAACGCGGTGATTGCGAAAGGAATGATTTTCAGAAGAGCCTTCCAAGAGTAGGAAACATCCGAGGATATACAGGGAAGACTGTTTTGTAGAATTTAAGCAATTCTGTGATTCTGTTTGCAAAGGAAGAGCCATAGGTTGTTGACTGCTTAAGAACTTGGATGATGGAACTCGGGCTTGTGTGCGGTATTTGAGTTCCGTATGACTGTGACTCGAGTGATAGTTATTATAAATGAAGGCCCAGTTTTATCATTGGGTCAGTATTTTGTTGAGCGACAGTGCGAATTGAATTGCCATTAGTAAAATTTGATAACTCATTCAACCGTTTGTAACTTTTTGTGTAATTGTAGCATGTTGCCATCGTGAAATATACTGCTTTGAAATTGGGTCCATGATTTTGAAACAGCCTGTATCACCCAGCCTTGGTCGCTCTTCTTTGCATGATAAACATTCACCGAGCCTCGCACAGCTGCTGCAATGATGCCACTGCCACTTTGTAGTGTTTTGCAGGATCTTCCCGTCACTTTTCATGTGAACCGTATGTCCACTCTGCGTCGCTGTGCCGTGCCCTGGTAGGACTGAGCTGGCAGAGCAAGGTGGAGATGCTGAGAGCCAAGATGCAACAGAGGAAAGCAGCTTGGATCGTCATCACTGCCCTGGATGAAATAGCCTGTACGAGACACAGCTCCCCTCAGCCACACAGAAATAACATCTACACCACTGATTAAAACCACGAGGGGAACACTGCCAGGCGTAGTGGCTCACGCCTGTAATCCAGCACTTTGCAGGCAAGGGTGAGTGGGTCATGCAGGATTGTGAAACTCGCAAACACACAGCGATGCGAGATGGCAGGGGATAACCACGTAAAATTTGTTTTACAAACATCGCAATGCAGGATCTGCTTGAAAAAGTCTTGATATTCACTTAAACTTTCCTGGGTGAAGAGACATTAAGACGTCGTAGATGGCAGGAGTTGAGACATTTCTAGGCAATAGGCAGAAGTAGTGGAAAGACAGTAGAAAGCCATGATATAGAGGTGTAGTGAGATGAGAGAGACGTTCGGGATGGGTATGGAGTAGTAGAATACATTGATACAGTGAGTTAGCAGAGCTCCATCTTACCACATAAAAACAGATGCTTTAGTTCCATAGCATAAAGGTTTTCCAGACTAATATTACACAGCAGTATTTGTTTAAACAAGCACACTCGGGATCCTTTTTGACATTTTGAGTTTCACCATCAAGGAAGTTACATTAAACCTTGGATTGCGAGTAACTTGGTCTGCGAGTGTTTTGCAAGACGAGAAAATTTTTTAAATAAATATTAATTTGATAAACGACCGAGGTCTTGCAATACGAGTACTTTAGTACGTACAGTATACGCTTTGTCTGCCGAGCGTCACGTGATCACAACTGATATACGAGTGCTTTGATTTACGAGTGCTTTGGATTACAAACACGTTTCCGGAACGAATTATGCTCGCAATCCAAGGTTTTACTGTATTCAGATTATTTTGCTGCTTTACATTTCCACATGATAAACCACTTTGTTGAGCTATCATTTGTAGCCCCATTGCTTCTGAAAAATTAGTTAATACCACAGTGGGCTTTGTCTGGTGGGATGGGGATTGTTTAGTTTCATTTGTATGTTTTTGGGCGATTTGTTTTCCTTTTCTGTACTTTGCACTCCTATAATATTTTTGTATTGTTTGTTGTTGTAAAGTTCTTAACCGCCCCGACTAGACATCTGTGAAAAATATCTTTATAACTCATCCGATTCCTCCAGTATAAATAAATATTCTAATTTTGTCTGCACTGGACTTGCAATCCAGATTCTGAATGTTTCATTCAGTAATCCACGACGGTTTGAACATATTAAATGTGTGCAGGCAGCGGTGCAGTCATAGCTGGGGACCTCTCCGATTAGCGCAGTTGGCTACGTTACGGTGCGAAAGAAGTTCAAAATACACACTTGCGAAGGGACGTTTGTGTGCCGCATGCATTAGGGAGTGCATGGGCTGCTGTAAGTTGAGTCGGACATGGCTTTGTCAAACGGTAGAGTGAGCAACTCACAATTCGGAAGGCCGTGAGTTCAAATCCTGATTGGGGGGTGGACTCGGCCCATCATCCCTCTGGGGTCGGGGGGAGTCGATAAAACAAGTGCCAATTTGTGGGGAAATTAAACAGCGGTTGTTCGATGGATACACTCGCCCCGCCATAGAAATGTGGAACTTCCACCATGGGCTAAGGGCTATTAACAGGATCTGAGCACAGCCTCAATGCTCACTTGAGCAGGACAGCACATTTGCATTGTGGCTTTGCGGAAAATGAACGTTTGCTTAAAATAAAATTTGTCTCTTTACTTTTCGCAACAAACTTGTACAATGGAACGTTCTCTCTCTTTCCTTTGTCAGAAGTTTTTACATTTCATTCTCTCGCCCGTCCGTGTTTTGTATTCACTTGTTCCAGTGGCCCCTTAATCGCGCGCGTGTGTTCACAAAACACCCTCTCCCCATTGTGTCTGCGCTTCCAGGGCTATTCAACATGCGTGGAGGGGACGTCGAGTACAACCCGGTGTTTTTTCGCCTATGCAATGGTGGGGCTCGAAACCATCAGGTAATGCCTCCTGGTTTCCTCGCAGATCTCTGGGGGGAAACACGTACGCAATGTGTACGTGCGTGCATTTCAAATTCTTTATTCCCCACCCCTCAACTTGGTCACTAAGCTACTCAAAGAAGGGTTTAGTATGTGTGTACTTTGAACTTATTTCGCACCGTACGTAGCCAACCGTACAAATCGGAGGGTGTCTACCGATAGCTCTGTTTCCAGAACTGACTGCTGACATGCTGCGTGACCTTTGAACGTCATCCCGGCGTGTACTATTAACTGATGATATCGTTCCACATCTTGGCACACACATAACCCGTTCCCTAAGCTTGACCTAAAATGACATGTTCTCTCTGCGTGAATGGTTATGCACTCCGTGCTCTCTGGTTGTGTCGCGTGTTTGTTGGGTGTGATGTCTGACGTTCCACTCCCCACGTGCTGGGGGGAGCTTTTTAAAGAAGTGATTGGCTTTCGGAATTTAGGAACTCAATTGAGTTGCTGAAGAAACTTTGAATCTAGATTGGAAACTCATTTCTTTAAAACTGCTTTTTGCATTTAGTTGTTTTTGTCCTTCCCCCGCACCTCCGATTAGCACGGTTGGCTACATACGGTGTGAAAGAAGTTAAACGTACATGTATAATGCATACGAAGCTGCCAGCACGAAGCAGCGTGCGGCACAACCCAAAAACACGTTGGAGAGCCGTGCAATGCGACCTGGAAATCTACTCTTGTGTGCGCATTCACAGCCACGTTCACGTGCGTGCGTATCCGCGTGTGCGCGTCCGCGAACGCACGCGTGATCGCGCGCAGGCTGTTTGTGGACGAGTGTCGGCTGCAGGATGGTACCGTGCGTGCGCACCTGGAGCTGGACTTGGCGGTGCCGTCGCACGCGGGCATGAGGGTGGAGGTCCTGCCCTACGCGGCCGTGCTCGCCTCGCTGCAGGAAGCGTCCACTCAGCTGGCCGCGGGGCAGCGCGTGTGGATCAGCGACAAGTCCAGCTTCGCGCTCAATGCCATCGTTCCCAAGGTATCGCGTTATGCGAGCCTATGCATACGTACGTCATCGGAATGGAATCGGAAGAAAAAGGAATATAAAATAACTTTATCGGTACCGAGGCTCCCACAAGGCCATGCGGGAGGGTGTGTGGCACAGTTTGGCGCCCAATATCACAGAGTGCCGTTGCGCCGCTAAGGTTCTAGGCGTAATTACATTGTCTTTAAAAACAACGGCGCTACGCCTTTCTAAATAAAATTAACGCTAACCGCTTGCACGTTCCGGGATTCAGCAGTGAACGAGACACCCACTTTGCAACTTGTAGACGTCTCGGAACGGGAAAGGCTTAAGGATGATTTGGGTAACTCGCTTAATTGCGTTTCTACCCGTATATACGTGGTTAGTTGAACAGTTTCGGCTTTGGCGAATTGTACAAAGTTTACATTTACAAGACCCCCCAGCCCCGCTCACTTCCCAGCCCCGGCATTGTGCTTTACTCGGTGTTGAGTAGGCATTCCTCCCCCATTCCTCCTTCCCCACACCCCCACCCTCTTTATCCTCCCTGGCTCCTCCCCCCCCCCCCTCTCTTACTTATATATCGCCTCTTGTTACCAGCAGCCTCCTCTTGCCCGCTTCAGCAATTGTTTATTGCTGTGGTTCCACCTGATGACGGGCACTTGTGTTGCGCCCGAAACGTCGTGATTTAATTTATTTTATTTTCTACCCACGTGACTTTACTGAAAGAACCAAAGAGTACTGATCCCTGCAGTCACGAAAACTTCAAATCTAGAATTTACAAGAGGATTGTTTTGTTCTAAACCCAAAAACAAAAAAATGTCGCGTGGCCAGATGCCTTCCAAGCTCAGCATGGCACCATTGAGATCCTAGGGTCGAATAAAGGTGCCTTCCCTTCATTGAAGCAGTTTTATTAAGTCTTATAAGAATAATGATGACAACTTCTCCATCGCCGTAACGCGGCAAGCCCATTACAAGTGCACCGAAACGAGTTTCTTGTCACAGTCCACACACAAAACCGGTCTCGTCGTCAAAATTCGATTTTGAACTGTGCTTGGCGCTTTGCATGTGGGGTGGCATTCATCTACTCATGCGCCGCGTCTGCGCATCTCAGTCCCAGAGAATGCAGATGCCCTACACTCCAATCTGCCTGGCAAAGGCCGTCAAGAACAAGACCGAGGTGGAGGGCATGAGACGAGCTCACGTACGTCGCACAGCCACGCGGCGCCATCGCACGGCGGACGAACCAATAGGGGCTGCCATACTCGCGGCAGCGCTTGCATTTGTTCATTCTCTAATTGCCTACTTGCGCGTCGGATAGAATTGTAACGGTGTCATCTCGGCGAGTAAAATGAAAGCAGCTGGCAATATGTCGAGCCGTGCAGCATTGGTACATGTGCTTACACGTTCCTGCTGTACATCATTAAGGTAAATGTTTTGACTTGATGCCCTTCTGTGCAGTGGGGTGTCGTTGTACGATTTGTAAAAAAGTTTCGTTTTGTAATTGTTAAGTTCGCGAATGATTTGTTTGTTGTGGGCCGTTTTATCTTTTTTTTTAGCTTGGGGGGTGGGGGGGGGGCCTTTATTATCATTCAACAAAAGTAATTTACAATATCAGCTTTCACAAAATAACATTGGGTGTGTTGTGTAAGTAAAACCAGCCCGATTTGCACTGAATACATAGCCCAGGTTAAGGCGTTTATCATGATATCAATATTGTAAACGCTAATTAAAGAGCCAATAACACCTTTGTAAATAGAGGACCGCAGAGCTTGGGAGGGAATTTGGCACCGGCTCACGCGCATGGCTGCCGCCTCCCCACTCGTCCGTGGTTCCTCCTCTCTCCTCCGAGTCGTTAACTCGCTTCGAGATAACGCTCTGCGGCGCGTTACAGTTTGCAATTATAAAAAATATTATTAATCGTTACCAACATTAATGAACTACGATTTGAACTGTTTTTATTTTACCAGGTAAGGCCCACTGAGCTACACAGCTCTTTTTCAGAAGCGACCTGTCCATCACAAATGATAGCCCAATGAAGTAGCTTATCATGTGGACATTTATAGCAACCAAATACTCTAAAACGCACGTTGATCGTCAACGTGAAGGTAAAAACCGGACCCAGAGAGAAATTCATGCAAGCACGGGGTGAGAGACACACAAACTACAAATATACAGCAGGCATCAGGGTCGGGATTGAACCCGCAACCTCTTGTATACCAGGCGAGGTAGTTAACATCTCGCTACCACAGCATCCCAAAAAAATTATGTGCTGTCTCCTGTTTTGCAGGTGAAGGATGCCGTGGCCTTGTGCGAGTTCTTCTGTTGGCTGGAGAAAGAGGTGAATAAACTCTGCGTATGGCCCATGCTCAATCAATAAATCTTCATTTAATGCGCCAATATTATCCTGAATAAAGTAGGCATCGGTGCACATCACATCGGAACAGGAATGGTACAGGGGGCATGGAGCAACAGGAATGAAAAAAGAAACCTGTCACGACCTCAGTGGCTAACACCGACTGAGCAAAGTCAATTGCAACCGCGAGCAAAATAATGGCATCACAAGTGTGTCTGCTGCCAATGCATCGTCGAATCAACTGCCATCCTAGATTTGATGTTTGCGGACAATTCAGTGTAACATAATAATAACGCGTATGAATAAGAAGACCGATGACCACTTTCATGTGCTGCAAGTTATCAGGGTGGAATGACCAAAATCAAGAGAACGTAGCGGTGACTGGACCATTTTTCTGATATTGATTGGCAAAAAAATGTATCTTTACAATCCACAAATTGTTACGAATTAATTTTGAGATTGTTTGCAGGTTCCAAATGGCGGTGTCACTGAGGTGTCGGCTGCTGACAAGGCAGAGTTCTTCCGCAAGTAAGGGCATAGTTTGTGTTTAATATTAACTCTTTGCCATTCCGAGACAACTACAAGTTGCAGGGTGGGTGTCCCGTTCATCGCTGAATCTCGGAACACGCAAGCCGTTCAGCATTTATTTTATTTAGAGCCATAGCACCATTGTTTTTAAAGACGTTGAACTCACCGCAGAGAATTTTGGCGACCGCAGTCTATGGTAGATGGCGCTAAACTGTGCCACACGGCTTGCCGCATGGCCTTATGGGAGCCTTGGAACCGATAGTTATTTTATTTTACTTTTCTTCTGGTTCTGTTTAGATAATGTACATATCGGAAGAGAAACTGAATGGGAAAGTGTTAAGCTGTGTTTTCTACACACTCCTATTAATTCGAGGTTTATTCGGAGCCTAGAGCAGCCGCAGAGGCTCGCGGATGCGGTGAAGTGGCAGATTTTGAGGATTTCTGGTCAACATTCCACATCTGCTGATAAATGTAAGGCTCAGTTTTAAATGCAGGACTCTGCTTTAAATTTTTGTTTTAACTGTCTCTGAAAATACAGGCTCCTATCCTGTTTTTTCCCCATTTTGTCTCTCAAAAAGAGTAATAAGATTTTATCCATGTAAAAAAAATGTGACTATATGTAACGAATGCTGGTAAAGTATTGGGTATGTTTTATGATTGCCTTTCTTCACTCACGACTGCAAGTCTCTTGGTTTACTGGGAGCTAAGTGTCAATATTGCTACTCATTCCAGCAGTGGCATGGTTAAATACTGTGTACAGTGTCACGGTTTTTGTATTTTAAAGTTTTAAAATGTTATATGTATCTTTGTCCATCTCGCATCTCTTCCAAGGCAGCAAGATGACTTTGTGGAGCCCAGCTTTGCCACCATTTCAGGCTCTGGACCTAATGGGGCCATCATCCACTACAAGTACGCCCTCTCAAAGCTCTCGTGTTTCCGTTCGTTCCTTCGTTCAGTCCTTTCTCAGAGCAGTGCTTTAATTTTTATTCAATGGTTATTAAGTTCTGGGATATTCCTAGATTGGAAATTGCTTCAAGCTGATTTGGATCGGCTGCAGTCCTTCTGCATGCGATGGCAAAAAAGCCTTCTTGGCATCCGATGGTTCGACCTCGTCAGAAATGTCACAGTTGCATCTGCGACCGGTCTCCTAGCGTCCAAGAGCTCAGTTCGAGAGGGAGAGACGGTCGTGACTTTTTGGTCCACGTCCACCCGTCTCGATGCTCAAGCTCCAGCAGATTGCGCACTTCAGTGGGCGGTTGACGTTCCAAGTGAGAATTGCGACCCTCAAAGAAGTGGCGCCGCCCTCCACGTGGTCAGCCCCCGCCCCCCCCCCCCCCCCCCGTGATCCATGGATTAAACAAATCACTTGAGACACGCCGGTGTACGGCAGCCAAGAACAGTTTGGGCTAATGCTGTGGCAAGAGGCCGCACGTTTGGCGCCAACGGTCTTCGCTGACTGTGCATGATGAATGAATGAATGATATTCCGAGGCTTAGAAATGCCATTGACCGTCGGGTTGTAATATGGGAAAGGTGTTCTAATTAGATAAGTGCATATACGAGAGTTTCTGCATTCACGTCTGGCGAGACTGGGGTCACGTTGGATGTGGCAAATCCTGAATCCGAATCGGATACCGATGGGATCTGAGCCGCGTTTGGATCTGAATGGCGGAATGGTGTTGTAGGGTTTTATTTATATTTACCGATCTAGACTTGAGCTTACTAAGGAACATATTTTTCCCAGTCTGGTATAATAATTTCATTTTATCGAGCGTAATTCATGAAATTGCATCCCAAACACTGTACATAAATTAACCAGTTGCTTATAAGGATAATACAAAAACAAAACCCCACTACTTGGCAAATAAAGAACGAAAAAAAATGAATACATAAATAACGAGAAAAAAAATACACATTGTAAGACAAGAATAACAAACAAAATCTCAGAGAAAATAAATAAATTCGTTCGGTCTCCATACCCCAGACCACAATCCCAACATTTGCCAAACCTTCACAGGAGGGGTGGTGGAGTGGCCACAAAGTTATGAGCCAGTTGGACAATAACTTTTTCTAATATGGTATATCTAATCTGGTATATATGGTATATCTATTACTTTGTTTTCTTAAAAAATTAAAAATACAAAATCGTTTATACCTCTGTAACACGATGAGAACATAAATCCGAGAACACGGCACCAAAGTGAATTAGGATACCAATAAACAATGGGAGCAAATGCAAAAACATAATTGACTGACGTCATATATCAAGTGTTAGCTACGAGGAGAGAAAAATAAAACCAAGGCGCATGATAGTCAATTATACAAGTGGAAGAATTTTACACAGGCGTGTATAGCAAAGTATGTATATTCAACAGGGCAAAAACATTCTCAGGTGAGGATAATGTCCTAGCTTCCACACATAAGTAACACACTACCCATGCAGTGTGAAAAAAGGAAAGCTATTGGACCAGGTGAAATAACATTGGGACATCATCAAAGAAGTGCGACCACTTGACAAAACTTAGTAATTCATCCTCAGTCTTATGTTCAAAAGGGCAACTAAACTGGTCTGAAGCCTTACTGACTCGTTACCTACACTCCGATCGTACCCACATTGCCCACGCAGATCTGAGTCAATGCTTCTGCCACAGAATGGGCAGTCAAACCAGCTGCCGTGAGCGTGTGCCTGTGTATCCACTCGTGTGTGTGTGTGTGTGTGCTCATGCGTTTTTCAGACCATCCAAGGACTCGGACAGACCCCTTTCCACGAACGAAGTGTACCTTTGTGACTCAGGTGCTCAGTACAGGTGAGAATACCACGCTGTGACTCAATTGAGAATCGACACGCGTTTAGAGTATTTGGCTGCTATATATTTTCACATGATAAGCCACTTCTTTGGGCTATCATTTGTGATTGCCAGGTTTCTTCTTATAAAGAGCTGCATAGCTCAGTGGGCCTTAGCTGATAAAATAAAAAAAATATGTATAGTTTAGTTTAGTAATTATACATAATATGCCTCGAGGCTGGAGCAGTGGCGCCGTGGTTGGCGCACTATGCTGTAAATCCAGAGACATGGGTTTGATTTACATCCACGGATAACATCGGTGGATAGTGATATCTGAACTTGTCCTGGGAACCATCCCCTTCACCAACCCACACTGACCAGTGTGGTGAAGCATGGGGAGGCCTTACCCTCGTCTTTAAAACAGAGTCAATGCTCTTGTGTAGTTATAATGCCCCTTTTGTATGTAATTGCACGCCCTATATATTATCATCATTAATCGTAAAAATAATCTTATTTTACAGGGACGGAACAACCGATGTAACCAGGACTGTGCACTTTGGAACCCCCAGTGCCTATGAAAAGGTAGCGTTCCATCTATGCAGTCATCGAACTCTGAGTGGCTCAGTTACTCTTCATATTGCCGCAGTACCCCTTAGGATTGCCGCAGTACCCCTTAGGATTGCAGAACAGCGCTTACGTAAACAGGAGTGTTTAGGACAGTGCTTGGTTGGTCATGAATTATAGACGGCTCTTTTGGCAAGACCTTATACTTCTGCTATCGCACTGGGATTGCACATTGTACTTCACTCTTGTTAACGACCTGGTGAATACACAAGCCTCTTGCAGGCTTGTATTGCATGTTTAGAAACATGCCTCGAGATTATTTTGCTGCTATAAATTTCCACGTGATAGGCCAATTCCTTGAGCTATGATTTGTGGCCAGGTCGCTTCTGAAAGAGAAGCTAATAGCTCAGTGGGCCTTACCTGGTCAAATAAAAATAGTTATTTTTTATCGTTTTTTTTGTAAAGTGATTTGTTGACCTTTCCCAAACTTAGCACTCCTATCTTGTTTTTGTATTACTTGTTGTAACGTTCTGAGCCGACCCCTATTGGACATTGTGAAAAAGAGCTTTATAGCTCATCGAATTCCTCCGGTGCAAATAAACATTCTGCTTCTGATATTGGCGTTTTGAATAGTTGAGTGGCCGTGCCGGGGCAGTCATGCCGTAGAAGTGATTAAATTACAGTTTTCACTCGTACTGCTTCACTTGCCCACTAGGGCTACGTTTTCTTGTTTACCAATCAGTGCCATGTGTCAAATGTTGCGACGTAGTCATTTAACAAGTTTGAGCAAAGCATATTCACAGCAGGTGAAAGGAAAATGTGATAAACATTCAAGGGTGGCAAATAAACTGATTTCCACTTGCGTGCACACGTTCGTAACAAGGGTACACAATATGGTGCGTGTGATAATTTTGTTGCTTTTATTTACTGTAAACTATGAAATGCAGGCGGTGACACACTAAAACAGAAAAACACGACCAAGGAGTGCTGCATTTATTATTTTGTTTCACTTGAACTCAAAAACACATCGAACCAAAATATATTTCATCGTGTTGTGCTTTACCTTGTCAAGTTATATCAAAGCCTTGAACGGTTTTTAATATTTGTAATCCAACAACATTGAGCCACGGAGTGTAATGCAGACATAAATGTAAGAAGTCCCGAATGGGTTATCACTGCAGAAGCCACCCCTTGGCTCCCATCACTGTTTAGCGTTTTAAAATCTCGTCTTTTTAGGAAACCGTCCAAAATTGTATGAGTTGGTGATCCCATTCCAGCAGGGGAGGGGGCACTACTTTACATAAATCATGAGGGTCATGCCACCCCTGGTCCCCCCTGTGGCAATGCCTCTGCTGTGAGTGCGGCATCTGCAGTGGACGAGAAGACAGCCCGGTTGTCTTCATATTCTTAGGTGTTTTCGGTAAAGTCACGTAGGTAAAACATTAAAATTTATAAAAGTAAAATAAAATAAAAATCACGACGTTTCGGAGGCAACATGTCATCCTGGTACCAGTTATGTCCTGCCGAGCTAGCCAACGTCATCTTAACTTACTTGAATGTGTCACGAAATAAATTGTGTTTCTGACGATGAATGGGCATATAATAAGATGTTAGTTTTATTCGGCGTCGTTAAATACAAATTGCATCTCGCAATCGCTAAGGAACCACAGACAAGCTGGAAGGCAGCCAGGCGGTGAGTCGGTGCTACCAACAATTGCCAAAGTTCTGCAGTCCTCTCTATATATTAAGATGTTTTCAGCTAATGAATGAACGTTAATATATGTGGGTGGAAACTGGAGCACCCACAATACCTTGCTTATCTCGTCAAGGAGCATAAACCATCATGCAAACTCCGGTCATCCTCGCAGTGGCTTTTGGCTCGCCATCGAACAAAGACGGTCACTACATCGTGCGCTTTGAGATGCGCTTTTGCGGCCGTCTGGAACACTCTTCCTTCCGATATTAGAAAGCCACTGGAGCTATGCACTTTAAAATCATCTCGATTGAAAACTAATTTCTTTAGAACTGCTTTTTGGTGTTTAGTTTGTTGTCCTTCCACCCGCACCTCCGATTAGCACGGTCGGCTACGTACGGTGCAAATTAAGTTTAACATACATACATACAACAAACAGACATACACCCGGAGAAAAATGTACATGGGGGCAACAAAAATCCCATACAGAAGGGAAAGATGATATTTCACATTTTGCTGTGCCACCTTCTGGCAAGCCAGGGTGTGGCCCCACCTTGACATGCATGGGAAGGGAGTTTTGCAGCATTAGTGCGATCCAACCAATCCCTGCCTCCCCATTGCTGGATTACAGGCCACGTGCATCGCGACCACCGCGAGTGTGTGCCTGTGTGTAGCTCAAGACCTGCTTGCGCCGTGTGTTTTGATGGTGTTTTACAGGAGTGCTTTACCCGGGTGTTAAAAGGTTACATCGCGGTCAACACAGCAGTCTTCCCCATTGGCACCAAAGGTACGGACAACGATAAAGTTAATTCTAGATTTGAACGATCAAATCTTACTAATTGGCTGTGTCATGCAGCCAGAGTTTGGTGGTACATGTTGTTTACGTCGTTTATTGTGAAAATCCGTCACAGTTCCTATGATCACTGTTTCATTGCTTTCATGGCTTTATTTTTGTGATTTCGAAAAGTGTATTGGTTTAGCCATGTTTGTTGTAGTACAGAGTTATACTGATGGCCTTAATCTAAGTTGTCTTGTTGTTGTTGTTTGACTTGCATCCCACTGGGATTTTTGCACACAGCGTTGGTGTACGGTGTTTTTTATGCAATATTTTACTGTCTTTTCTTGGATTTTCTGTTTGCACTCAGTCACATATTCACTTAAAGATGTTTTTTTGTTCATGTTTTAGTTTTTTGTTTGTTGCGGTTGCACCCGATTCAAGAGCTGAATGGCTCACAGGGCTATACCTAATAAATGAACTTGAACTTGAACCCACCCCCCGTGTGTCATGGCGGCCTTCATAGGTGCTACTCGCTAACAGCACTTGCCCCAACAGTGTGTTAAGGCTACACGGGGTGTCTTTGTTTGCCTGTATAAAACAGAAGTGCAACATGGTTCGCATTGGAATTGCTGCAACGTCACTGTTAACAATACAATATCATATTTTGCACCACAATGATTATCACAATATAACTTTTTTTAATAGCTTTTCCACATTTTTATTGCATTGTCCACTGTGTAAGTAAAAACAAGATATGTCTTCTAATCTTGATAACTTTTACAATCCATGACGCAATGAATGCACATTCTGTCAGTTATACACAAAACAATTAAGTTATTACATAAAATGTATAATTTCCGTGTCATAAATGCAAGGCCGTAATTATAATATATATTGGGGGGGGGGCACACATCCCCCCCCAATATTCAAAGATGCTCAAAATGTCCCCCCCAATATATTGCTATAAAATAGATTCATGTTTATATGATTGTGGGTTATGAATGTACTTTATTAATCCCTAATCTCTACCATTACATACAATGAAACAAGAAAAGGTAAAAAAGAAAAAACAGCAATGTAATACAATACACTATTTGACATTATTGTAAAAAATAAATAAAAAGTCCATCCTATGTGTTAGTGAAGTTTTTAATATTTTAGGCAGGAAATTAGTTTTCAAATATGATTTTTTTTTGGGGGGGGGACCCCCAGACCCCCTGGAAGAATTTGGTCCCCCCCAATGTTGACTCCATAGCTACGGCCTTGCATAAATGACTCCGGGAAACGTTTTGCAAAGCAATCATTTAACGGGTAATATCTATTTATTTACAACTTCAATGATTTTGTTATTTCGTAGACAATTTGTTGGTAAATACGGTTTCTAAGAAAAAGAAAAATAGCAACGATAATCAGGATGTGATTGGCAATATTGCAAAAAAAACCCGCCCCGACGATACGATTATCGTGGCCCTCATGACGTCCGACATGCCATCGTATCACCGTATCACAGCAATCCCCCCCCCCCCCCCCCCCAGTCTCCACGGTGTGCAACGTGTTCATTGCCTCCACCTGCGCTTTGCGTAGGGCACCTGCTGGACACGCTGGCACGGATGGCGCTGTGGCAGGTGGGCCTGGAGTACCTGCACGGCACGGGCCACGGCGTGGGCTCCTTCCTCAACGTGCACGAGGGCCCGTGCGGCATCAGCTACAAGACCTTTGCAGACGAGCCCCTGGAAGCGAACATGATCATCACAGACGGTAACGCCGCTTGCGTGAACGACAGCGAGAGCATTGCTGGCTCACGAGGACCCGCCACCCCGAGCTGAAGGCTGTGGCCCTTCTGACTTCTTAGCGAAGGCTAAAAAAGGTGCTGCTGCACTGCAGCCATTCCTCGTATACACACAGCGGGTGAGCTGGAGCGGAATGCACTCCAGACAAAAGCAACTCGCATTGTTTACTCACGCTGTGTAGCGATAAACGTTTAGCGGTTGAGGTTTGTTTAATATTGAAGGTCGTGCCTCCACCACCCTCTGAGTTTTTGTATGGGGCCCCCTCATTTTAAAACGAGGTCACGCCCGCAGGATTGGTTCCATGCCCGTTGTTCACTCGTAGAAAGTCTGTGGCGTGTAACATCACTCATATTTGTTTTATAATTGCACTCTGTTTATTTTAAAGCGCATGCAACGTCATTCTAAAATTATAAAATATGCGATTTAATTTTAAATATGACCAACCTAGGGTCGGAGCAGTGGTGGTAACTTGAGTTTGCTTCCCAGAGATAATAAAAATAAAACTTACATTTTATATAGCAGTGTCATTCATGCCAACAGCATCCCACAACACTGTACATTATTCATATACAAGGACCAAATCCCATATATGCGTTCTAGACTTGAAGCTTTCGTGACTGCAAGGAATCATATTCTTAGGTGTTTTCGGTAAAGTCACGTAGGTAAAACATCAAAATTAATAAAAATAATAAAATAAAATAAAGATCACGACGTTTCGGAGGCAACACAAGTCTCCGTCATCAGGTGGGACAGTCACAGCCAGATCAGCTGCATCAAGTGAGGCAATGATTCAAGATGTAATCCCTTAAAAGCGAGTTGAGGGGGGAGGAGAGGGGGGGGGCTCATCAGAATGTGGTAGCCAATGAATGGAAAGTATCGGGAGAGAGGGGCCAAAAAAAGGGTGGGCGACGGCGTGGAAGCTATTGTGCGCAAGCGACACACTGCTGCCCACGCCAACGCACAGTGCGAAAGAAGCCAAACACACACACCAAGCAAATGAAAACCATACTACTACCAATCAAACTACAAAAATAAGCAAATAAAGATATGGCACCAAAACTAAAAGTACAAACAAAAGTTAGGTCTACACATCCCAGACCACAATCCCAACTTCCTTGCTTGGTTGGGAAGAGACGGATAACATTCTTGGCGAGCAGCATCTGAACCAGACCTAGGCCTCCCCTTTACTAACCCCAACTGACCAGCGTGGTAAAAACTGTACTAAACTTAAACTTTTTATGTTACCAGGTAAGGTCCACAGCTGTACAGCTCTATTTCAGAAGCGACCTGGCTATCACAAATGAAAGCTCAACGAAGTGGCTGATCATGTGAAAATTGACAGCAGCCAAATACTCTCAACGAATGTTGTTTATAAATGTGGAGGAATAAAAAAACAGAGAACCTAGAGAAAAATCCACGCGACCACAGGGCGATCATGCAAACTCCAAATATACAGGGGTTGGGATCGAACCCCACGACCTACTGCACACCAGGCGAGGTAGTTAACATTTTGCCACTGTGGTGCCCTGGTCAAATAACCTCTATGATGGACACAGCATGGAGAGACCTTGATCCAACAGTGCGCTGACAAAGCTTTACATTTTATTTTTGATCACATTTTTAAACCTTAGGAAAATCACATTTTTTTTAGCAATCAACTGAGTTAAATCTACATGGCTACACATTTCTATTATATATGAATGTCTGATGGCATTGATGAAAATAGTTATCCATTTGGAGTCTGTTGGTCACCGCCTCCCTCTTCCTATGCCCACAGAACCAGGCTTCTATGAGGAGGGTGCCTTTGGGATTCGCATTGAAAATGTTCTCCTGGTGATCCCAGCCAAGACTCGGGTACGTACAGCGAGCTTGTGCACTTTCTCATATTGACTCCATCGTCGCTTGGCTTGGAGAGAGGGCATCGTGAACGGGGTCATTCAAGGCAGCTCTTTACTACACACACGTGAAATTCACCCACAATCTTACGTGGCTTTTAAACACATTTCTCAGTTCATGATGGATAGGACCGTAATTGTACATTTTATGGCAAATGTATAAATGAAAGCTTTACATTATCGTCAAGGTTTTTGCGTGCGTATATGGTGTTCCTATTGACCATTAAGTAACATGAGTTTCACCCCAATTGTAACACGGTACAAATTGATTGTATAGTGCAGGGGTCTGCAACCTGTGGTTCCGGAGCCACATGCGGCTCTTTAAGGATTGTTTCATGACGTTATGTATTAAGGACCACCATCTCTTATTCCCACACAGTGTATGGCAGCTCTTTAAGTATTGAGTTTTTTTTACCGAATTCGAAAAAAAATAGCTCTCATTATTTTGGTTGCTGACCCCAGGTGTAGAGTGTCAACTTTAACTGCATCTTAAAACGCTGTACAAAATAGGTGGAAATTCACATGACAGGCAATCCGCAAAGCGAGGGGGTTTTCTTGGAAATGCATTTGCGTTGCAGGCGACAGGGGCAAGAAAGTGAGATGGTGGTATGGTCGGGAGAGGTTAAAGGCATTTCAGAGACGGTTTATCAACTGTGGAGAAGAGGAGATTCTTGATCCTGGATTTGAACCACGGGAGGGATCTGAACAGTGCCGAGGTTTGGGAAGGAAACTCCAGGCCACCGAAGTGGTGGCAGAGAAGGAATGACCTCCACTTGAGTGGTTATTTTTATAGTTAAACCTTGGGTGCTGAAGCAGAGAGAATGCGAAGGAGAGCAAAACAAAGTGAATGGGCAGAAGTTGGCAAGAATTATTCTATGGAGAAATTTTAAGAAAATTAGGGCATTTTGTAAACAGGATGGTATAGGGTCTTGTAAGAGGGAACCTTTAAAGTCAGCCGTTGATGTTCAAGCTTCCTTCTTAGAGGTTTAATTTATTTTATGAAGATAAATCCCAACACATTTGTAAAAACGCTGCCTGAAATGTTTTCATATATAACAGGCATAATTTTTGACAATGGCCCTTCTTTATAGCACTTATTTATTATGTTTTTTCTTTTCAGGCAGTGTTATTTACAAGTGTAAGGAGTTTTGTTATTTGTGCTTTTGTGCATCACTGCCAACGCAGCATCGCCAACTAATTTGTGAAATTATGGGATCTTCCAGAAGTAGGAAGCAATGAAAAGGCATGGTGACATTAATGACGACATCTTGACCTTGCCATGGCTCAAAAATGATCTGTAATACAAATTTCAGAAATTACTGTTTCTTTCTGGAATCATAATCCTGGGTGTTCCTCATGAGACAGTTTGTGTCTCAACAAACCTTCATCTGGGCCTGCACGGACGTGTGTATGTTGAACTTCTTTCGCACTGTACGTGGCCAACCGTGCTAATCGGAGGTGCAAAGTTTGAGCCTTCCTTCATATACCGATTTTTCATCCCAAACCACATTTAGCTTAAATTGTTCCAACAGTTTGTGCAAGATCTGACTAGGTATGAAATAGCAAGCATTGTCTTGTATTGATGGATTGCAGAACATTTGGCATGGTCTCGTATCATTGTGTAAACCTAGTTCCTGGGCATACCTGAGTTCTGATAGTAACAAAAAATAAGACATTTTAATAATGGCCATTGTTGTACAGTGGATTGCAGTTTAACTGTGTGTTTTCTACAGTACAACTTCAAGGACCGAGGCTCACTGACCTTTGAGCCACTGACCCTGGTACCAATTCAGCTCAAGATGATTGAGAGATCGTTGCTTACAGAGAGTGAGGTGAGGTTCTCACTGTCAATCGGCACACCAGAAGTATTCATCGCACAGCACTCTCACATGTGTTAATGTGGAAACAGAGAAACGGACTTCTGGTTATATATGCTTTTGCCCATAATGCTGCACAGCAACGCATGCTGAGTTTGTGCGAGATGTTGCTTTATGATAATAGGGTTTTTCCCCTTTTTTCTGACGACAAAACTGAAACCTTTTTACAAGGAATCATGTGTGCATTAAACACAATACTTGTGGTCAAAATGCAAACAAAAAACACACTATGATAATGTATGCGAACAATGATGTTTGGGATTCTGAGTCTGTTTCACTTTCTAAATCACATCTTAAAACTCACCTTTCTATAAAGGCTTTCCCTGCAACTTAACATTTAAAAAAACAATTTTGTTGCCTGATTGGTTAACTCTGGAATTATTATTATTATTCGCTTTTATCAGTTCCTCATTTTATTGGAATTTCAAGAGTTATCAGCTTTCTATTTTGCTTAGATTTAATCTGTACTTGTGAGTGTTGTTTTATATTTATGTACAGTTCTTTGAGATACTTCGATAAAATAGAGGTTATTATTACGTTATGATCAGCCACATCACGCTGGGCGGGGCTCTCCAGAGGGGGGAGTGGTTTCCTGCCTTCGGGAGGTAGAATGTCCAGGTGCCATTTTTAAAAAGACTCAGAATCAGGCTCAAGTAATTGACCACAAAGTAATCTGGTATAGGTCATAGTGGATAAAGTGTTTTACGTGACCAATCGTGCCGGTTCGAATGAATACCCTTCAGGATTGTTACGCCCTTAAGTGTTCTGCTTGTAGCTTTGGCCAATTTGTGCCTCCACTCGACTCGGCTCGTGTTCTATTGTAAACGGTGATGTTTCTACCGTTGTGTCCACAGATCTCCTGGGTGAACAAGTACCACGAACACTGCCAGGAGGTGGTAGGGGCTGAGCTGAAGAAGCAGGGCCGAGAGGATGCCTTAAAATGGTTACTTAAAGAGACAAAGCCTTTTTAAATTTCACTCGAGGCTTATAAAAAAAACACCCATCTTGGAAAATCGTCTAATCCAGCAGGCAGTGAGTCATCCCAACCAATATATTTTCAACCAGATTTTTAAATATTGCTGACCAAGCTAATAAATCAGCCAGCCATGCAGAATAGCCACTCTCTCTTGGCCAGAAAAATAAACATCAAGAAACCTGCACGTTATGAGTGGAAAGTCCTTTAAAGAGTGGCTGTGAGTCATCGTAACCAGCTAGCATGTCAGCTCACCGATCAAAAATCAAGCCAGGTAACCAACTTACAATCCAGACATTCAAGGATGTAACCTGACACTCAGATGGTTATCGAGTCATAAATCCAAGTGGCAACAGTCTTGTGCCAAATGAAAACCAAAAATGACCTTGATGTATGCTCCACTTTACCCCTGAAATAAAGTTTGAATGTGAACTTTTTACGAATATATAACAATCCTTACATTGGTTGTACTGTGGCAAGTTGGAATAAATGATTTATTAATCTTTGATCACTTTTGTCTCTTTAGCATCTGAGTGTTGCAACCATAAGATGAATAATGGTCTGTCATGGTATAAAAACAGCCTCGTAGTAAAATTGGATGATGTAATCACATGGAGGTGTGTGTGTAAAAGAGCTGACAAGTATTCTGAACATTAGGATAATGCATTCAAAACTGAATGCAGTTTTTACAAATATGCATATTTCATTAGTATTTTTCAGTTACTGTTTTGTTATGTAATTTATTTGTATTGTTCTTTAAAGAAGGGTGATTTTGTTTTTCTTTTTTAATGCGTACTGTATACACGCACTGTATTTAATATACAAAAACACCACAGATGCGCTTCTGCGGCCATCTAGAACGCTCTGATATTAGGAAGCCACTGGAGCTCAGCACTTTTAAATCGAGATTGAAAACTAATTTATTTAGAACTGCGTTTTGTGTTTAGTCTGCTGTCCTTCCCCCACACCTCAGCTTAAAGCGGTTGAATATGTATGGTGCAAAAGAAGTTTAGCATACAACTACATTCACGAATATAAATGCTTAACTGGGGACTGGACTGATTGTCGCAGAGCCTATGGCACAGTCAGCTATCCAGCCATCCTTCACACTGGATGACGTATATAATTAACAAGCATCTTTATTATTTTACAAATATCCCATTGCCCCTTGGGTTGCCTACTAAAACCTCAACTAACGTCTGCGCTGCCTCCCAAAAACCTGGGCCCGTGAGAAAGCCATTATTGAACCTATATGAGCAATACAACTCACGTGGGAATGTACCACTACCTGTACATACACTACATACACTATACAATGTCCATGGCCACTCCACTATATTTTCTCCACCTTTAGCTTAAAAAATCCCTTTCGGACTCTCATTGAATACCCATAATGTTACCACCAAGGCTGCCTTCCAGGCTTTGGGCTCATGGTTGGTCCATTACATTATAGCCAGACGTGCCGAGTTGTGTGCGGGTTTTTATATTGTCTGTTTGAAACATTCAGGCTCTCATGCCCATCCTGGGTTTAAACCAGGTTATGAGATGCTCTGGAAAAGAGACATCCCACATGCCCCGGCATCATTAAACATATACACACTTTCATAATACTGTACAATAGCTAAATACAACTGCATCTCAAGACGCAGGACAGAAACCGCTGGCTTCTTATGACGGGGAGCCATAGGCAAAATAAAAAAATATATCTAGTGCCTGGGCATGCATAGGGCCATGGAGTTTACAGATTGGATGGTTGGGAAGAGTTTCCATACCTGTCTAGTGCCTAACTTATTAAAGACCAATTCAGACAACGTTCATCCAACAAAGTCTCATCACAAGGGAGAAACACAAATAGACAAAAAAAATGTTGCCCGTATTGAAACGGCTGTACGCTGTATGGACCTGAAAACTCAATTTCCATGTACAAGAATACGGGTAAACCGTATGGGTTGACGGGTATGAGTTTCATAATATTGGAGCAAAAAGAATGAGCGAATGTTAACTTGGGGCTTACAAATCCTTGGTTGCTGGAGCATACTGTGTGGAGGGGACATATCTGGTTGTGCCCATGGACTGCCTGCAAGCCTTCAACACTTCACGTGGTCTCCGAGTGCACCGAGTCTGATAAACTGTGGTGATGGTTGTGGTGGAGGTGACGGTGATGTTTGTGGTGGTGTACTTGAATTTTATAATTCATTTCAGCTCTACCTTTACACGAATTTAATGCACCCTTTATAACTGATATGCCCTTACACAAATGCAAATCTTGTGTAGATATACCAGAAACGATTTGGGTTTTTTTTCATGCAAATGTGCACCGATCATCAGCATGGTCACAAAGCCTCTGTCTCCAGAGAGTGAATAAGACAATCGTAAAATTAAAGAGACAATTTGAATAAACGAGAAAAGCATCCTCAACTTGAAAAAAAAAACTTGCAACACTGCACATGAACGCGTTTAAAAAAAATGTTAGTCACGATTTAGTGCACAACTGCGTGCGATTGTAAATACCCGGCACAGGCCAGGGGGACCCTATCGTGTGGCCTATTAACCTCGAACTTTTCTGGGGTTTTTGTGTGGGCGTAAAGTCGCACGCCGTCTTGACAACTGCTGTGACTCCACTGATGTGGACACGACTTCTCTGGGGCTTCTCCCTCTGGTGATGTCACTATTTCCCCCCTGCAGTAAGGATATTCTGAGCGAATTTGCATCCTAGATTTTGTGACCTTTTGGGGGCTTTCCCCGGGCGACAGCATTTTTTATCTGCCGTAGTGGCACAAATTGTAGCGATTCTCTGGGTGGGGACTCGGGACATCGTTCAGAATTAGGAGCGATTTCTCGGTGCGTATCGAGCATCTTTTATCATCAGTTCACGGTGTGTCACAATCAGTCAATATTGTTTAATGACACGATGTGCAATTAAGGAATCTCAGCTGACGACATTCTCATTTCCCATTGGTTGGGAAGCTGGGATTGCGATCTAGGATGTGTAGACCTTTCTGTGATAACTTATTTTGTTTTGGTGCTATTTCTTAATTTCTTTATTCATTTTTTATTTTGCTTGGTAGTAGGCTTTTCATTTGCTTGGTGTGTGTTGGGCTTCTTTCGCGCCGTACGTAGCCAACCGCATATATGGGATTTTGTCCTTATATATGATTAATGTACAGCGTTGTGGGATGCTGTTGGCATGCGTGAATATACAATGAAAGTATTGTTTACAATTGTAAACTCTCGTGTCGGCAGTATAAACACGAAGGCTTTCGCGACCAATGTCCATAATAAAGGTAGTTTGGGTTAGATTGCGTCAATACAAAAGTTTCGTTAAACAGGCCACCACCCGACACAAGTTCTAGTTCATTGATTAGGTGTAGCCCTGTGAGCCATTCGGCTCTTGAATCTGGTGCAACCGCAACAAATAAAAAACAAAAATATGAACAAGAAAACATCTTCAAGTGACTATGTGCAAACAGAAAATCCAAGAAAAGACAGCAAAATATTGCAGAAAAAGCACCGTACACCAACACTGTGCAAAAATCCCAGTGGGATGCAAGTCAAACAACAACAACAACCACAAGACAACTTAGATTAAGGCCATCAGTCTAACTCTGTACAACAACAAACAAACATGGCCAAACCAAAAAACTTTTCGAAAATCACCAAAATAAAGCCATGAAAGCAATGAAACAGTGATCATAGGAACTGTGACCGAATTTTCACAATAAACGACGTAAACAACATGTACCACCAAACTCTGCAGCCATAGCTGGCTGCATGACACAGCCAATTAGTAAGATTTGCCACGTAAACACAACGTGCCAATTGATGATCAACTTCAGCACACCGGCGTGTCGTTGTGACAGTAAAAACAAACCCACGGCATTGGCAAGTTCGTGGTGGCACGCTTCGCATGTTGATCTAGCGACACCTGGCGTCTGCAACACGTGGCGACTTTCTTGCTCTCTCGCCCTGAGGCCCCCCCCCCCCCCGTCGACGAAGGGAGGAGGAGGCGGCGTCTTGGTGTGGTGGTGGTGGGGGGTGTTGTGGGTGTGGTGGGGGTGTTGTGGTGGTGGGGGGTGTTGTGGTGGTGGGGGGTGTTGTGGGGGTGGTGGGGGGGTGTTGTGGTGGTGGGGGGTGTTGTGGTGGTGGGGGGTGTTGTGGGTGGTGGGGGGTGTGGTGGGTGTGGTGGGGGGGTGTTGTGGTGTGGTGGGGGGGGGGTGTTGTGGGTGTGGTGGGGGGGGTGTTGTGGGTGTGGTGGTGGGGGGGGTGTTGTGGTGGTGGGGGTGTTGTGGGTGGTGGGGGGTGTGGTGGGTGTGGTGGGGGGGGGTGTTGTGGGTGTGGTGGTGGTGGTGGGGGAAGGGTGTTGTGGGTGTGGTGGGGGGGGTGTTGTGGGTGTGGTGGGGGGGTGTTGTGGGTGTGGTGGTGGGGGGGGTGTTGTGGTGGTGGGGGGTGTTGTGGGTGGTGGGGGGGGGGGTGTTGTGGGTGTGGTGGGGGGGTGTTGTGGGTGTGGTGGTGGGGGGGGTGTTGTGGTGGTGGGGGGTGTTGTGGGTGGTGGGGGGTGTGGTGGGTGTGGTGGGGGGGTGTTGTGGGTGTGGTGGTGGTGGTGGGGGAGGGGTGTTGTGGGTGTGGTGGTGGTGGGGGTGTGGTGGGTAGTGGGGGGTGTTGTGGGTAGTGGGGGGTGTTGTGGTGGTGGTGGTGGGGGTGTTGTGGATGTGGTGGTGGGGGGTGTTGTGGTGGTGGGGGGGTGTGCCTATGAAAAGGTAGCGTTCCATCTATGCAGTCATCGAACTCTGAGTGGCTCAGTTACTCTTCATATTGCCGCAGTACCCCTTAGGATTGCAGAACAGCGCTTACGTAAACAGGAGTGTTTAGGACAGTGCTTGGTTGGTCATGAATTATAGACGGCTCTTTTGGCAAGACCTTATACTTCTGCTATCGCACTGGGATTGCACATTGTACTTCACTCTTGTTAACGACCTGGTGAATACACAAGCCTCTTGCAGGCTTGTATTGCATGTTTAGAAACATGCCTCGAGATTATTTTGCTGCTATAAATTTCCACGTGATAGGCCAATTCCTTGAGCTATGATTTGTGGCCAGGTCGCTTCTGAAAGAGAAGCTAATAGCTCAGTGGGCCTTACCTGGTCAAATAAAAATAGTTATTTTTTATCGTTTTTTTTGTAAAGTGATTTGTTGACCTTTCCCAAACTTAGCACTCCTATCTTGTTTTTGTATTACTTGTTGTAACGTTCTGAGCCGACCCCTATTGGACATTGTGAAAAAGAGCTTTATAGCTCATCGAATTCCTCCGGTGCAAATAAACATTCTGCTTCTGATATTGTCGTTTTGAATAGTTGAGTGGCCGTGCCGGGGCAGTCATGCCGTAGAAGTGATTAAATTACAGTTTTCACTCGTACTGCTTCACTTGCCCACTAGGGCTACGTTTTCTTGTTTACCAATCAGTGCCATGTGTCAAATGTTGCGACGTAGTCATTTAACAAGTTTGAGCAAAGCATATTCACAGCAGGTGAAAGGAAAATGTGATAAACATTCAAGGGTGGCAAATAAACTGATTTCCACTTGCGTGCACACGTTCGTAACAAGGGTACACAATATGGTGCGTGTGATAATTTTGTTGCTTTTATTTACTGTAAACTATGAAATGCAGGCGGTGACACACTAAAACAGAAAAACACGACCAAGGAGTGCTGCATTTATTATTTTGTTTCACTTGAACTCAAAAACACATCGAACCAAAATATATTTCATCGTGTTGTGCTTTACCTTGTCAAGTTATATCAAAGCCTTGAACGGTTTTTAATATTTGTAATCCAACAACATTGAGCCACGGAGTGTAATGCAGACATAAATGTAAGAAGTCCCGAATGGGTTATCACTGCAGAAGCCACCCCTTGGCTCCCATCACTGTTTAGCGTTTTAAAATCTCGTCTTTTTAGGAAACCGTCCAAAATTGTATGAGTTGGTGATCCCATTCCAGCAGGGGAGGGGGCACTACTTTACATAAATCATGAGGGTCATGCCACCCCTGGTCCCCCCTGTGGCAATGCCTCTGCTGTGAGTGCGGCATCTGCAGTGGACGAGAAGACAGCCCGGTTGTCTTCATATTCTTAGGTGTTTTCGGTAAAGTCACGTAGGTAAAACATTAAAATTTATAAAAGTAAAATAAAATAAAAATCACGACGTTTCGGAGGCAACATGTCATCCTGGTACCAGTTATGTCCTGCCGAGCTAGCCAACGTCATCTTAACTTACTTGAATGTGTCACGAAATAAATTGTGTTTCTGACGATGAATGGGCATATAATAAGATGTTAGTTTTATTCGGCGTCGTTAAATACAAATTGCATCTCGCAATCGCTAAGGAACCACAGACAAGCTGGAAGGCAGCCAGGCGGTGAGTCGGTGCTACCAACAATTGCCAAAGTTCTGCAGTCCTCTCTATATATTAAGATGTTTTCAGCTAATGAATGAACGTTAATATATGTGGGTGGAAACTGGAGCACCCACAATACCTTGCTTATCTCGTCAAGGAGCATAAACCATCATGCAAACTCCGGTCATCCTCGCAGTGGCTTTTGGCTCGCCATCGAACAAAGACGGTCACTACATCGCGCGCTTTGAGATGCGCTTTTGCGGCCGTCTGGAACACTCTTCCTTCCGATATTAGAAAGCCACTGGAGCTATGCACTTTAAAATCATCTCGATTGAAAACTAATTTCTTTAGAACTGCTTTTTGGTGTTTAGTTTGTTGTCCTTCCACCCGCACCTCAGATTAGCACGGTCGGCTACGTACGGTGCAAATTAAGTTTAACATACATACAACAAACAGACATACACCCGGAGAAAAATGTACATGGGGGCAACAAAAATCCCATACAGAAGGGAAAGATGATATTTCACATTTTGCTGTGCCGCCTTTTGGCAAGCCAGGGTGTAGAAGCACCTTTACATGCATGGGAAGGGAGTTTTGCAGCATTAGTGCGATCCAACCAATCCCCGCCTCCCCATTGCTGGATTACAGGCCACGTGCATCGCGACCACCGCGAGTGTGTACCTGTGTGTAGCTCAAGACCTGCTTGCGCCGTGTGTTTTGATGGTGTTTTACAGGAGTGCTTTACCCGGGTGTTAAAAGGTTACATCGCGGTCAACACAGCAGTCTTCCCCATTGGCACCAAAGGTACGGACAACGATAAAGTTAATTCTAGATTTGAACGATCAAATCTTACTAATTGGCTGTGTCATGCAGCCAGCTATGGCTGCAGAGTTTGGTGATACATGTTGTTTACGTCGTTTATTGTGAAAATTCCGTCACAGTTCCTATGATCACTGTTTCATTGCTTTCATGGCTTTATTTTGGTGATTTCGAAAAGTGTATTGGTTTAGCCATGTTTGTTTGTTGTAGTACAGAGTTATACTGATGGCCTTAATCTAAGTTGTCTTGTTGTTGTTGTTGTTTGACTTGCATCCCACTGGGATTTTTGCACACAGCGTTGGTGTACGGTGTTTTTTATGCAATATTTTACTGTCTTTTCTTGGATTTTCTGTTTGCACTCAGTCACATATTCACTTAAAGATGTTTTTTTGTTCATGTTTTAGTTTTTTGTTTGTTGCGGTTGCACCCGATTCAAGAGCTGAATGGCTCACAGGGCTATACCTAATAAATGAACTTGAACTTGAACCCACCCCCCGTGTGTCATGGCGGCCTTCATAGGTGCTACTCGCTAACAGCACTTGCCCCAACAGTGTGTTAAGGCTACACGGGGTGTCTTTGTTTGCCTGTATAAAACAGAAGTGCAACATGGTTCGCATTGGAATTGCTGCAACGTCACTGTTAACAATACAATATCATATTTTGCACCACAATGATTATCACAATATAACTTTTTTTAATAGCTTTTCCACATTTTTATTGCATTGTCCACTGTGTAAGTAAAAACAAGATATGTCTTCTAATCTTGATAACTTTTACAATCCATGACGCAATGAATGCACATTCTGTCAGTTATACACAAAACAATTAAGTTATTACATAAAATGTATAATTTCCGTGTCATAAATGCAAGGCCGTAATTATAATATATATTGGGGGGGGGGGGGCACACATCCCCCCCCAATATTCAAAGATGCTCAAAATGTCCCCCCCAATATATTGCAATAAAATAGATTCATGTTTATATGATTGTGGGTTATGAATGTACTTTATTAATCCCTAATCTCTGCCATTACATACAATGAAACAAGAAAAGGTAAAAAAGAAAAAACAGCAATGTAATACAATACACTATTTGACATTATTGTAAAAAATAAATAGAAAGTCCATCCTATGTGTTAGTGAAGTTTTTAATATTTTAGGCAGGAAATTAGTTTTCAAATATGATTTTTTTGGGGGGGGGGGACCCCCAGACCCCCTGGAAGAATTTGGTCCCCCCCAATGTTGACTCCATAGCTACGGCCTTGCATAAATGACTCTGGGAAACGTTTTGCAAAGCAATCATTTAACGGGTAATATCTATTTATTTACAACTTCAATGATTTTGTTATTTCGTAGACAATTTGTTGGGAAATACGGTTTCTAAGAAAAAGAAAAATAGCAACGATAATCAGGATGTGATTGGCAATATTGCAAAAAAAACCCGCCCCGACGATACGATTATTGTGGCCCTCATGACGTCCGACATGCCATCGTATCACCGTATCACAGCAATCCCCCCCCCCCCCCAGTCTCCACGGTGTGCAACGTGTTCATTGCCTCCACCTGCGCTTTGCGTAGGGCACCTGCTGGACACGCTGGCACGGATGGCGCTGTGGCAGGTGGGCCTGGAGTACCTGCACGGCACGGGCCACGGCGTGGGCTCCTTCCTCAACGTGCACGAGGGCCCGTGCGGCATCAGCTACAAGACCTTTGCAGACGAGCCCCTGGAAGCGAACATGATCATCACAGACGGTAACGCCGCTTGCGTGAACGACAGCGAGAGCATTGCTGGCTCACGAGGACCCGCCACCCCGAGCTGAAGGCTGTGGCCCTTCTGACTTCTTAGCGAAGGCTAAAAAAGGTGCTGCTGCACTGCAGCCATTCCTCGTATACACACAGCGGGTGAGCTGGAGCGGAATGCACTCCAGACAAAAGCAACTCGCATTGTTTACTCACGCTGTGTAGCGATAAACGTTTAGCGGTTGAGGTTTGTTTAATATTGAAGGTCGTGCCTCCACCACCCTCTGAGTTTTTGTATGGGGCCCCCTCATTTTAAAACGAGGTCACGCCCGCAGGATTGGTTCCATGCCCGTTGTTCACTCGTAGAAAGTCTGTGGCGTGTAACATCACTCATATTTGTTTTATAATTGCACTCTGTTTATTTTAAAGCGCATGCAACGTCATTCTAAAATTATAAAATATGCGATTTAATTTTAAATATGACCAACCTAGGGTCGGAGCAGTGGTGGTAACTTGAGTTTGCTTCCCAGAGATAATAAAAATAAAACTTACATTTTATATAGCAGTGTCATTCATGCCAACAGCATCCCACAACACTGTACATTATTCATATACAAGGACCAAATCCCATATATGCGTTCTAGACTTGAAGCTTTCGTGACTGCAAGGAATCATATTCTTAGGTGTTTTCGGTAAAGTCACGTAGGTAAAACATCAAAATTAATAAAAATAATAAAATAAAATAAAGATCACGACGTTTCGGAGGCAACACAAGTCTCCGTCATCAGGTGGGACAGTCACAGCCAGATCAGCTGCATCAAGTGAGGCAATGATTCAAGATGTAATCCCTTAAAAGCGAGTTGAGGGGGGAGGAGAGGGGGGGGGCTCATCAGAATGTGGTAGCCAATGAATGGAAAGTATCGGGAGAGAGGGGCCAAAAAAGGGTGGGCGACGGCGTGGAAGCTATTGTGCGCAAGCGACACACTGCTGCCCACGCCAACGCACAGTGCGAAAGAAGCCAAACACACACACCAAGCAAATGAAAACCATACTACTACCAATCAAACTACAAAAATAAGCAAATAAAGATATGGCACCAAAACTAAAAGTACAAACAAAAGTTAGGTCTACACATCCCAGACCACAATCCCAACTTCCTTGCTTGGTTGGGAAGAGACGGATAACATTCTTGGCGAGCAGCATCTGAACCAGACCTAGGCCTCCCCTTTACTAACCCCAACTGACCAGCGTGGTAAAAACTGTACTAAACTTAAACTTTTTATGTTACCAGGTAAGGTCCACAGCTGTACAGCTCTATTTCAGAAGCGACCTGGCTATCACAAATGAAAGCTCAACGAAGTGGCTGATCATGTGAAAATTGACAGCAGCCAAATACTCTCAACGCATGTTGTTTATAAATGTGGAGGGATAAAAAAACAGAGAACCTAGAGAAAAATCCACGCGACCACAGGGCGATCATGCAAACTCCAAATATACAGGGGTTGGGATCGAACCCCACGACCTACTGCACACCAGGCGAGGTAGTTAACATTTTGCCACTGTGGTGCCCTGGTCAAATAACCTCTATGATGGACACAGCATGGAGAGACCTTGATCCAACAGTGCGCTGACAAAGCTTTACATTTTATTTTTGATCACATTTTTAAACCTTAGGAAAATCACATTTTTTTTAGCAATCAACTGAGTTAAATCTACATGGCTACACATTTCTATTATATATGAATGTCTGATGGCATTGATGAAAATAGTTATCCATTTGGAGTCTGTTGGTCACCGCCTCCCTCTTCCTATGCCCACAGAACCAGGCTTCTATGAGGAGGGTGCCTTTGGGATTCGCATTGAAAATGTTCTCCTGGTGATCCCAGCCAAGACTCGGGTACGTACAGCGAGCTTGTGCACTTTCTCATATTGACTCCATCGTCGCTTGGCTTGGAGAGAGGGCATCGTGAACGGGGTCATTCAAGGCAGCTCTTTACTACACACACGTGAAATTCACCCACAATCTTACGTGGCTTTTAAACACATTTCTCAGTTCATGATGGATAGGACCGTAATTGTACATTTTATGGCAAATGTATAAATGAAAGCTTTACATTATCGTCAAGGTTTTTGCGTGCGTATATGGTGTTCCTATTGACCATTAAGTAACATGAGTTTCACCCCAATTGTAACACGGTACAAATTGATTGTATAGTGCAGGGGTCTGCAACCTGTGGTTCCGGAGCCACATGCGGCTCTTTAAGGATTGTTTCATGACGTTATGTATTAAGGACCACCATCTCTTATTCCCACACAGTGTATGGCAGCTCTTTAAGTATTGAGTTTTTTTTACCGAATTCGAAAAAAAATAGCTCTCATTATTTTGGTTGCTGACCCCAGGTGTAGAGTGTCAACTTTAACTGCATCTTAAAACGCTGTACAAAATAGGTGGAAATTCACATGACAGGCAATCCGCAAAGCGAGGGGGTTTTCTTGGAAATGCATTTGCGTTGCAGGCGACAGGGGCAAGAAAGTGAGATGGTGGTATGGTCGGGAGAGGTTAAAGGCATTTCAGAGACGGTTTATCAACTGTGGAGAAGAGGAGATTCTTGATCCTGGATTTGAACCACGGGAGGGATCTGAACAGTGCCGAGGTTTGGGAAGGAAACTCCAGGCCACCGAAGTGGTGGCAGAGAAGGAATGACCTCCACTTGAGTGGTTATTTTTATAGTTAAACCTTGGGTGCTGAAGCAGAGAGAATGCGAAGGAGAGCAAAACAAAGTGAATGGGCAGAAGTTGGCAAGAATTATTCTATGGAGAAATTTTAAGAAAATTAGGGCATTTTGTAAACAGGATGGTATAGGGTCTTGTAAGAGGGAACCTTTAAAGTCAGCCGTTGATGTTCAAGCTTCCTTCTTAGAGGTTTAATTTATTTTATGAAGATAAATCCCAACACATTTGTAAAAACGCTGCCTGAAATGTTTTCATATATAACAGGCATAATTTTTGACAATGGCCCTTCTTTATAGCACTTATTTATTATGTTTTTTCTTTTCAGGCAGTGTTATTTACAAGTGTAAGGAGTTTTGTTATTTGTGCTTTTGTGCATCACTGCCAACGCAGCATCGCCAACTAATTTGTGAAATTATGGGATCTTCCAGAAGTAGGAAGCAATGAAAAGGCATGGTGACATTAATGACGACATCTTGACCTTGCCATGGCTCAAAAATGATCTGTAATACAAATTTCAGAAATTACTGTTTCTTTCTGGAATCATAATCCTGGGTGTTCCTCATGAGACAGTTTGTGTCTCAACAAACCTTCATCTGGGCCTGCACGGACGTGTGTATGTTGAACTTCTTTCGCACTGTACGTGGCCAACCGTGCTAATCGGAGGTGCAAAGTTTGAGCCTTCCTTCATATACCGATTTTTCATCCCAAACCACATTTAGCTTAAATTGTTCCAACAGTTTGTGCAAGATCTGACTAGGTATGAAATAGCAAGCATTGTCTTGTATTGATGGATTGCAGAACATTTGGCATGGTCTCGTATCATTGTGTAAACCTAGTTCCTGGGCATACCTGAGTTCTGATAGTAACAAAAAATAAGACATTTTAATAATGGCCATTGTTGTACAGTGGATTGCAGTTTAACTGTGTGTTTTCTACAGTACAACTTCAAGGACCGAGGCTCACTGACCTTTGAGCCACTGACCCTGGTACCAATTCAGCTCAAGATGATTGAGAGATCGTTGCTTACAGAGAGTGAGGTGAGGTTCTCACTGTCAATCGGCACACCAGAAGTATTCATCGCACAGCACTCTCACATGTGTTAATGTGGAAACAGAGAAACGGACTTCTGGTTATATATGCTTTTGCCCATAATGCTGCACAGCAACGCATGCTGAGTTTGTGCGAGATGTTGCTTTATGATAATAGGGTTTTTCCCCTTTTTTCTGACGACAAAACTGAAACCTTTTTACAAGGAATCATGTGTGCATTAAACACAATACTTGTGGTCAAAATGCAAACAAAAAACACACTATGATAATGTATGCGAACAATGATGTTTGGGATTCTGAGTCTGTTTCACTTTCTAAATCACATCTTAAAACTCACCTTTCTATAAAGGCTTTCCCTGCAACTTAACATTTAAAAAAACAATTTTGTTGCCTGATTGGTTAACTCTGGAATTATTATTATTATTCGCTTTTATCAGTTCCTCATTTTATTGGAATTTCAAGAGTTATCAGCTTTCTATTTTGCTTAGATTTAATCTGTACTTGTGAGTGTTGTTTTATATTTATGTACAGTTCTTTGAGATACTTCGATAAAATAGAGGTTATTATTACGTTATGATCAGCCACATCACGCTGGGCGGGGCTCTCCAGAGGGGGGAGTGGTTTCCTGCCTTCGGGAGGTAGAATGTCCAGGTGCCATTTTTAAAAAGACTCAGAATCAGACTCAAGTAATTGACCACAAAGTAATCTGGTATAGGTCATAGTGGATAAAGTGTTTTACGTGACCAATCGTGCCGGTTCGAATGAATACCCTTCAGGATTGTTACGCCCTTAAGTGTTCTGCTTGTAGCTTTGGCCAATTTGTGCCTCCACTCGACTCGGCTCGTGTTCTATTGTAAACGGTGATGTTTCTACCGTTGTGTCCACAGATCTCCTGGGTGAACAAGTACCACGAACACTGCCAGGAGGTGGTAGGGGCTGAGCTGAAGAAGCAGGGCCGAGAGGATGCCTTAAAATGGTTACTTAAAGAGACAAAGCCTTTTTAAATTTCACTCGAGGCTTATAAAAAAAACACCCATCTTGGAAAATCGTCTAATCCAGCAGGCAGTGAGTCATCCCAACCAATATATTTTCAACCAGATTTTTAAATATTGCTGACCAAGCTAATAAATCAGCCAGCCATGCAGAATAGCCACTCTCTCTTGGCCAGAAAAATAAACATCAAGAAACCTGCACGTTATGAGTGGAAAGTCCTTTAAAGAGTGGCTGTGAGTCATCGTAACCAGCTAGCATGTCAGCTCACCGATCAAAAATCAAGCCAGGTAACCAACTTACAATCCAGACATTCAAGGATGTAACCTGACACTCAGATGGTTATCGAGTCATAAATCCAAGTGGCAACAGTCTTGTGCCAAATGAAAACCAAAAATGACCTTGATGTATGCTCCACTTTACCCCTGAAATAAAGTTTGAATGTGAACTTTTTACGAATATATAACAATCCTTACATTGGTTGTACTGTGGCAAGTTGGAATAAATGATTTATTAATCTTTGATCACTTTTGTCTCTTTAGCATCTGAGTGTTGCAACCATAAGATGAATAATGGTCTGTCATGGTATAAAAACAGCCTCGTAGTAAAATTGGATGATGTAATCACATGGAGGTGTGTGTGTAAAAGAGCTGACAAGTATTCTGAACATTAGGATAATGCATTCAAAACTGAATGCAGTTTTTACAAATATGCATATTTCATTAGTATTTTTCAGTTACTGTTTTGTTATGTAATTTATTTGTATTGTTCTTTAAAGAAGGGTGATTTTGTTTTTCTTTTTTAATGCGTACTGTATACACGCACTGTATTTAATATACAAAAACACCACAGATGCGCTTCTGCGGCCATCTAGAACGCTCTGATATTAGGAAGCCACTGGAGCTCAGCACTTTTAAATCGAGATTGAAAACTAATTTATTTAGAACTGCGTTTTGTGTTTAGTCTGCTGTCCTTCCCCCACACCTCAGCTTAAAGCGGTTGAATATGTATGGTGCAAAAGAAGTTTAGCATACAACTACATTCACGAATATAAATGCTTAACTGGGGACTGGACTGATTGTCGCAGAGCCTATGGCACAGTCAGCTATCCAGCCATCCTTCACACTGGATGACGTATATAATTAACAAGCATCTTTATTATTTTACAAATATCCCATTGCCCCTTGGGTTGCCTACTAAAACCTCAACTAACGTCTGCGCTGCCTCCCAAAAACCTGGGCCCGTGAGAAAGCCATTATTGAACCTATATGAGCAATACAACTCACGTGGGAATGTACCACTACCTGTACATACACTACATACACTATACAATGTCCATGGCCACTCCACTATATTTTCTCCACCTTTAGCTTAAAAAATCCCTTTCGGACTCTCATTGAATACCCATAATGTTACCACCAAGGCTGCCTTCCAGGCTTTGGGCTCATGGTTGGTCCATTACATTATAGCCAGACGTGCCGAGTTGTGTGCGGGTTTTTATATTGTCTGTTTGAAACATTCAGGCTCTCATGCCCATCCTGGGTTTAAACCAGGTTATGAGATGCTCTGGAAAAGAGACATCCCACATGCCCCGGCATCATTAAACATATACACACTTTCATAATACTGTACAATAGCTAAATACAACTGCATCTCAAGACGCAGGACAGAAACCGCTGGCTTCTTATGACGGGGAGCCATAGGCAAAATAAAAAAATATATCTAGTGCCTGGGCATGCATAGGGCCATGGAGTTTACAGATTGGATGGTTGGGAAGAGTTTCCATACCTGTCTAGTGCCTAACTTATTAAAGACCAATTCAGACAACGTTCATCCAACAAAGTCTCATCACAAGGGAGAAACACAAATAGACAAAAAAAATGTTGCCCGTATTGAAACGGCTGTACGCTGTATGGACCTGAAAACTCAATTTCCATGTACAAGAATACGGGTAAACCGTATGGGTTGACGGGTATGAGTTTCATAATATTGGAGCAAAAAGAATGAGCGAATGTTAACTTGGGGCTTACAAATCCTTGGTTGCTGGAGCATACTGTGTGGAGGGGACATATCTGGTTGTGCCCATGGACTGCCTGCAAGCCTTCAACACTTCACGTGGTCTCCGAGTGCACCGAGTCTGATAAACTGTGGTGATGGTTGTGGTGGAGGTGACGGTGATGTTTGTGGTGGTGTACTTGAATTTTATAATTCATTTCAGCTCTACCTTTACACGAATTTAATGCACCCTTTATAACTGATATGCCCTTACACAAATGCAAATCTTGTGTAGATATACCAGAAACGATTTGGGTTTTTTTTCATGCAAATGTGCACCGATCATCAGCATGGTCACAAAGCCTCTGTCTCCAGAGAGTGAATAAGACAATCGTAAAATTAAAGAGACAATTTGAATAAACGAGAAAAGCATCCTCAACTTGAAAAAAAAAACTTGCAACACTGCACATGAACGCGTTTAAAAAAAATGTTAGTCACGATTTAGTGCACAACTGCGTGCGATTGTAAATACCCGGCACAGGCCAGGGGGACCCTATCGTGTGGCCTATTAACCTCGAACTTTTCTGGGGTTTTTGTGTGGGCGTAAAGTCGCACGCCGTCTTGACAACTGCTGTGACTCCACTGATGTGGACACGACTTCTCTGGGGCTTCTCCCTCTGGTGATGTCACTATTTCCCCCCTGCAGTAAGGATATTCTGAGCGAATTTGCATCCTAGATTTTGTGACCTTTTGGGGGCTTTCCCCGGGCGACAGCATTTTTTATCTGCCGTAGTGGCACAAATTGTAGCGATTCTCTGGGTGGGGACTCGGGACATCGTTCAGAATTAGGAGCGATTTCTCGGTGCGTATCGAGCATCTTTTATCATCAGTTCACGGTGTGTCACAATCAGTCAATATTGTTTAATGACACGATGTGCAATTAAGGAATCTCAGCTGACGACATTCTCATTTCCCATTGGTTGGGAAGCTGGGATTGCGATCTAGGATGTGTAGACCTTTCTGTGATAACTTATTTTGTTTTGGTGCTATTTCTTAATTTCTTTATTCATTTTTTATTTTGCTTGGTAGTAGGCTTTTCATTTGCTTGGTGTGTGTTGGGCTTCTTTCGCGCCGTACGTAGCCAACCGCATATATGGGATTTTGTCCTTATATATGATTAATGTACAGCGTTGTGGGATGCTGTTGGCATGCGTGAATATACAATGAAAGTATTGTTTACAATTGTAAACTCTCGTGTCGGCAGTATAAACACGAAGGCTTTCGCGACCAATGTCCATAATAAAGGTAGTTTGGGTTAGATTGCGTCAATACAAAAGTTTCGTTAAACAGGCCACCACCCGACACAAGTTCTAGTTCATTGATTAGGTGTAGCCCTGTGAGCCATTCGGCTCTTGAATCTGGTGCAACCGCAACAAATAAAAAACAAAAATATGAACAAGAAAACATCTTCAAGTGACTATGTGCAAACAGAAAATCCAAGAAAAGACAGCAAAATATTGCAGAAAAAGCACCGTACACCAACACTGTGCAAAAATCCCAGTGGGATGCAAGTCAAACAACAACAACAACCACAAGACAACTTAGATTAAGGCCATCAGTCTAACTCTGTACAACAACAAACAAACATGGCCAAACCAAAAAACTTTTCGAAAATCACCAAAATAAAGCCATGAAAGCAATGAAACAGTGATCATAGGAACTGTGACCGAATTTTCACAATAAACGACGTAAACAACATGTACCACCAAACTCTGCAGCCATAGCTGGCTGCATGACACAGCCAATTAGTAAGATTTGCCACGTAAACACAACGTGCCAATTGATGATCAACTTCAGCACACCGGCGTGTCGTTGTGACAGTAAAAACAAACCCACGGCATTGGCAAGTTCGTGGTGGCACGCTTCGCATGTTGATCTAGCGACACCTGGCGTCTGCAACACGTGGCGACTTTCTTGCTCTCTCGCCCTGAGGCCCCCCCCCCCGTCGACGAAGGGAGGAGGAGGCGGCGTCTTGGTGTGGTGGTGGTGGGGGGTGTTGTGGGTGTGGTGGGGGGTTGTGGTGGGTGGGGGGTGTTGTGGTGGTGGGGGGTGTTGTGGGGGTGGATGGGGGGGTGTTGTGGTGGTGGGGGGTGTTGTGTTGGTGGGGTGTGTTGTGGGTGGTGGGGGGTGTGGGGGGTGGGTGGTGGGTGGGGGGTGTGGTTGTTGGGTGGGGGTGTTGTGGGTGTGGTGGGGGTGGTGTTGTGGGTGTGGTGGTGTGGGGGTGTTGTGGGGGTGGGGGGTGTTGTGGGTGTGGGGGTGTGGTGGTGTGGTGGGGGGGGTGTTGTGGGTTGTGGTGGTGGATGGGTGGGTGGAGGGTGTTGTGGTGTGTGGGGGGGGGTGTTTGTTGGGTGTGGTGGGGGGGTGTTTTGGGTGTGGGGGGGTGGGTGTTTTGTGGTGGTGGGGGGTGTTGTGGGTGTGGGGGGGGTGGTGTTGTGGGTGTGGTGGGGGGGTGTTGTGGGTGTGGTGGTTGGGGGGGTGTTGTGGTGTGGGGGGTGTTTGTGGGGTGGTGGGGGTGTGGGTGGTGTGTGGGGGGTTGTTGTGGGATGTGGTGGGTGGTGGTGTGGGAGGGTGTTGTGGGTGTGTTGGTGTGGGGGTGTGGTGGTAGTTGTGGTGGTGGGGGGTGTTGTGGGTGGTGGGGGGTGTGGTGGGTGTGGTGGGGGGGTGTTGTGGGTGTGGTGGTGGTGGTGGGGGAGGGGTGTTGTGGGTGTGGTGGTGGTGGGGGTGTGGTGGGTAGTGGGGGGTGTTGTGGGTAGTGGGGGGTGTTGTGGTGGTGGTGGTGGGGGTGTTGTGGATGTGGTGGTGGGGGGTGTTGTGGTGGTGGGGGGGTGTTGTGGGTGTGGTGGTGGGGGGGTGTTGTGGGTGTGGTGGTGGGGGTGTTGTGGTGGTGGGGGGTGTTGTGGGTGGTGGGGGGTGTGGTGGGGGGGTGTTGTGGGTGTGGTGGGGGGGTGTTGTGGGCGTTGTGCTGCCAGAAGACGAAGAGCGACGTTTGGGACTTCGGCTCTCCGATCGATGGGCACGCCGCGACAACAAACACCAACTTCTACTGCTGCTGCTGCTGTTGTTGTTGCTGCTGTTGGTGACTTTTAATCGGTTTAAAAGTTGTAGGCCACGCGGGTTGTGGCAGCGGCGACAGACCGCGAATCTTGCGACGCAAGATCTCAATCCTCTAGCGGCGGGGCGAGGGGGGGGGTTGTGAGACCTCATCGTCTTACGTGGGTGGTGGTGGTGGTGGTGGTGTTGGTGGTGGTGTGAGACCTCAACATCTTTGCGGGAGGTTGTGGCGTGCGGGTGTTGGTGGTGGTGGTGTGCGAGGCGACATCCTGGGGGCGATGGACGACGAGGCCGAGGAGGCGGCCCCGAGGCCGGCGCGCCACCACCACGACCACCACCACCACCAGCAGGGTGGCCACCACCACGACCACCACCAGCAGCAGGGTGGCCACCACCACCAGCAGCAGCAGGGTGGTGGTGGTGGTCGTGGTGGCGGCCACGAGACCCTCACTTTGCTGCTGCACGAGGCCCGCACCGAGTCGGCTCTTGCTCAGCGGCGGCTCTCGCGGGCCCGACTCGAGCTGCGGGAGACGCAGTCGCGGCTCGCCCGCTACGAGCCCTGCCGGGTGCTCAGCCTGGGGGGCGGTGGTGGTGATGGTGGTGGTGGAGATGGTGGTGGTGGTCGTGGTGGTGGAGGAGATGACGACGGCCGGTGGGCAGCAGCAGCAGCAGGAGGAGGAGAGGAGCCGCTGGCGGTGTTCTCCGTGCGGAGCGGCCGTCACCTGGTGGAGAGCCTCGCCCTGGAGGTGGCGCGGCTGAGTTCGAGGCGCCTCGGCGGCGGTCGTGGCGGTGATGGTGGTGTTGGTGGTCGTGGTGGTCGTGGTGGTGGCGGTGTTGGTGTTGATGGTGGTCGTGGTGATGGTGGCGCGGGGAGGGAGCCGCACGCCACGGGGCTCGGCACAGACGAGGTGAGCCGCGGGGTTGGGGAGGCCTCGTCCTCCTCTTCCTCCTCGTCCTCTTCCTCCTCCTCGTCCTCCTCGTCCTCCTCCTCTTCCTCCTCGTCCTCCTCCTCTTCCTCCTCCTCGTCCTCCTCCTCTTCCTCGTTCTCCTCTTCCTCCTCTTCCTCCTCGTCTGTCCAGGCACGGGCGCAGCCGGCAGAGGGAGTAGTCCCCGCTCTGAGTGATTCTTTAGTACGAGGATGCTTTGGCCTACTCTTCCCCACGCTGCTGGTGGTGGCGTGCCTCGCAAGAGGCTGCAGCGCACTTGGGGAGTTGTTGGTTGGGGATGTCGAGGGGTATAAACCGGTGGTGGTGGTGATGGTTTTGGTGGTGGTGGTGATAGTGGTTGGTGGTGGTGGTGATAGTGGTTGGTGGTGGTGATGGTGGTTGTTGGTGGTGGTGTTGGTGGTGTTGGTGGTGGTGTTGATGTTTGTGGTGGTGTTGGTGGTGGTGTTGGTGGTGGTGTTGGTGGTGCTGTTGGTGGTGGTGATGGTTGTGGTGGTGTTGATGGTGGTGGTGTTGATGGTGGTGGTGTTGATAGTGGTGGTGTTGATGGTGGTGGTGTTGATGGTGGTGATGGTGGTGGGGTTGCTGTTGGTGGTGGTGTTGGTGCTGTTGGTGATGGTTGTGGTGTTGGTGATGGTGGTGGTGTTGGTGGTGGTGTTGATGGTGTTGGTGGTTGTTGGTGGTGGTGTTGATGGTGGTGATGGTGGTGGTGTTGGTGGTGGTGATGGTGGTGGTGGTGATGGTGTTGGTGGTTGGTGTGTGCGGTGTTTTGTGAATTTGAGACGTGTAGTGTGCAGTGTTCTTCTCTCTCTCTCGTGTTCAGAGAGAGAGAGTTGGGGGTGGGGGGCACTTTCGCCGCTAAGACATCACCGGTGGGACGAGGGGCCCGCCACATTTTAAACCATTGGGGGTTTGACACCAGCATGCCTGGTAAGTCAACTCCGTATCAACTCCTTACCTTGTTACAGGCCAATCCAGATCTTGTGGGTCACCCCGTGCCTTTATAAACCTCAACATTCATCTACGGAAACGGTTGTACCCCGTATGGACCTGAAAAGTCGATTTCTCTAGACAAGAATATGGGGTAAACCGTATGGGTTGACGGCAATGATAGTGTCGTGTATAGTAGTGTATGAAAGTGTAGTGTATAGTAGTGTATGATAGTGTAGTGTATAGTAGTGTAGAGTATGATAGTGTAGTGTATAGTAGGATATAGGAGTGTATTAGTGCATACCTGTCAACCGCTTGTCAGTGCCCTACCTTATTACAGCCCAATTCAGACCTTATTGATCAACCCAGGTATGCTGCTCCCTAGCTGTCAACCCAGGTATGATGTTGCCTAGCTGCCAACCCAGCTATACTGCAGCATAGCTGCCAACCCAGGTATGCTGCAGCATAGCTGCCAACCCAGGTATGCTGCAGCATAGCTGCCAACCCAGGTATACTGCAGCATAGCTGCCAACCCAGGTATGCTGCTGCTTAGCAGCCAACCCAGGTATGCTGCAGCTTAGCTGCCAACCCAGGTATACTGCAGCATAGCTGCCAACCCAGGTATGCTGCTGCTTAGCTGCCAACCCAGGTATGCTGCTGCATGGCTGGGTTGACAGCTATGCAGCAGCACGATGGTGGTGGTGGTGGTGAGGGTTGTTGTCACTTGCTGTCTATTGTTGGGGGTCCTCACTCACCAAGGGGGCCACTCGGCGTGTCCTCGTCACACAAAGACAAAGATCCCCCGTGTAGCCTTAACAGACTGCTTGGGCAAGTGCTGTTAGCAAGTAGCAGCGCCTGTGAAGAACGGCACTGTGGCACACGAGGTGGTTCGGTGGCCAGCACCACTCCCGACCGCCTTTGTCTCCCCAGTGGCGATGTTGACTGCACACCGCACCAGGTACTCATTTGAGGCTGAGTCGACCTAGGGGAGGCCCAGGACCGGTACAGATAATCGTCACTGTGGTGTTAGCCGTGAGCGGGAATCGAACCCGGGTTGCCGGTTTCGTAGCGCAGCGCGCTAACCGCTCCACCACCGCTCCCTCTACATGCGCGCCTGCTCCATCCACTGCTGGATGGAGACTCTCCATCCGATCTCACGATCCATTCTTGTACGATCACCTGTTTCTTATTTATATCTGAGTATGTGTCTCTACGTTTATCTACGTACAGTTTGTGTATCCTTAGATTGACTGAATATGGTCCATAGTTTGGGTTTGCGTGGCCACAATCGCACCATTGTGGCTTGTTTTTGGGGCCGTCCATAAATGACGTCACGCACCTAGTGGGGGGGGGGGTCAGACATTTGTGACGATGTGTGACGAAGGGGGGGGAGACGATGGACTTATAAACAAACAAGCACGGAACAATCATTTGTTTATAAGTCCATTGTCTCTCCTCCAGCCACTATGGGCAGGAATTCCACACAACTCTCTCATTGTTCTCTACCCCAATCCCCCTCTCTCTCCATTTAAGGCCTCGACACAGAGGCGTTGTCTTTCTGTTTGTCTGTGTGTGTCTCTCTCTGTTTGTCTATGTGTGTGTCTCTCTCTCTCTCTGTGTGTGTGTCTCTCTCTGTGTGTCTCTCTCTGTGTCTCTCTCTCTGCTTGTCTGTCTATGTGCCTCCGTGTCTGTGTTTTGTCTCTCAAATTTAGCAATCTTTGGAAGAATGTAATCAACCAGGTGGAGTGTTGACTGTTAGGTTAGCCGACTCTCTGTGTTGTATTGCATTATATTTCTAAGTTTACTATGTTTGTTTTCTTTTTCATTTGTACCTGATGACGATTGCTTGTGTTGCAATCGAAACGTCGTATGCTATTATTATTTAATTTATTTTCTTTCTACGTGCCTTTACCGAAAGAACCAAAGAGTAATTACTGCAGTCACGACAGCTTCAAATCAAGTGGTAATAATAGTTTTTTTTATCCATAATATAGTATTTTTGTAGCATCGCGTATGACTACATTAACGACACGTATTTACACGATCGAACAAACAAAAAACCCCTTTATTATGGATAATATTGGTCGCGAAAACCTACTATTAAGTGTTAAATGGCCTTCATGCAAACAACGGCCTGCGTGGGATGCATTTGAGGAGCTTTGGTTCCGTTTTGCAAGTTCAGTCTTGTTTGTGTGTTGGTTTGTGGGTGTGATGTGCATGTGATGTGTGTGTGATGCCTGGGTGTCAGTCATCCCATACCACCTGGGTCCGTCTCGTGACCTATCAGCGACGAGGGCCTTCGACACTTTACATTGGCCTCAAAGTGCTCCTAGCCACTTATCACCGAATGGCGGCTGTTGTGAGTGTGATGTGTGTGGTTGTGATTGTGTCTGGGTGTGATTGTGTGTGGTTGTGATTGTGTGTCGGTGTGATGTGTGTGGGTGTGTGTGTGGCTTGTGTGTCAGCATAGAACTGGGTGACCTTCTGAGCAATCTGTTGGACAACCAAATCGCTCTCGAAATCACTCAACTCGACCACCTGCGACTGCTTTGTCCACATCTGAGCGAGTAGTTGCTCAGCAGCCAATTAAACAGCACGTTCAGGATTGTAACAACAAATCACAGTTCACAAACACGCAACGCGATGAAGTCCATCACTAGAAATCGCTGAGCGGATCGTCGCTTGAAAGTGGAGTATGCCTCTGCTTTGAGCAACCGGTTGTGCAACTGCTCGCAACTTGTCGCAGAGGCGTCCACATGTGAGCAATTCTGATGCACGCATCTGAGTAGTACAGACGACCGCGGCAGATGTTGGACCCAACTTTGAGACGGTGTGTGTCACGAGCTCAGCGCGTGATCTGACGGTCCCGTGTTGACTATGACAGCTGATTGTGTTAGGGCATATGTTACGTATGTGTGCTGAACTTCTATCGCACCGTATGTCGCCAACCGTGCTAATCGCAGGTGCGGGGGAAGGGCAACGTAAGGCAATGTTGGTTACGGACGTAAATAGCGGATCGTTGCTTGAAAGCGGAGTAAATATATTTAGTTCACTGAAAAATTGATGCGTGTGTCACACATCGAAGATCTAAGCTGTCACACATCGATTACTTCATTTGAAAAACACTTATCGCAACTTATTTGCAACTCAGGAACCACCATTACCACACAATACAGTTGCAAACTGGGAGATGCGCTGGTGCCAAGGTTTATTTTACAGCAGTATAATATACTTGTAGAAATAAACACATGGATGTAGAAAGCTTGAGCATTTAACATGTTTATGATATAGTCGTCGTGGCAACCAATGGAAAACTACGGTAAATGATTCAAGAACTGTAGAAAGAAGCCCTAAAGTTGAATTGAGTTATTCATGAACAAAACAAAAGTCGAGCACAGGTTTGCTAAGGAACTAGAACTTGTGGAAGGGACACGACTAGAAAACAACATCATGCATCATCGTGTCCACGCCTGTTCGCTGCAACGTTTAACTGACATCGCACGGTCATGCGATATTAATAATTTGCAGTCGCTGTACCTCTCATTATGCGTGGACCCTGGTGTATCGTGAGTGCCGATTTACGCTGCATCGTGTGTGCAAATCAAGTATTTTCCCCTCCGGGGATGCCGAATTGAAAGCGGCGCGGGGGTACGGATCGTTCAATTGATCCCAGAGCGATTACTCCCAAGCAACAACTTGCATTTTTCAATTAATGATCCCATTTCCAACTTAATTGTGGACCAAGCAAGTTTTTATACCACGTAATGAGTGTTACGACAGCTTCAAGTTGAAGAGAGATCAGGATGAGTCATTTGCAAGAGTGACCTGGGTCACATATATGACACCAGAAATGAAGTGTTCACAGGATGAAAACCACATCAGTCTGCGTGACTTTAATATATACAGCACGTTGTGCGAACACTTATCCCGCATGCACGTACAGAGATGCTGCCAGCCTGTAATGGCGATTGGCGCGCCGGACTTGCAGTCCAGAGGTTGTTTGCTCGATCTCCCAGCGTGGCGGTTCCAATGATGGGCCAAGTTTCTTGTCCAGTCAGATGGTTGTGAGTTGAAATCCTACCTGGGGTACGACTGAAGGCTATTGTTGTCCCTCCAGGGTTCATGAAATTGGCACTCGTTTGTCATGCACAGTCGGCGAAGGACCATTGCGTCAAATGTGACAGCATTCGCATAAACAGCTCTTGGCTGCCGTATACCAGCGTATCTCGAGTGATTTGTTTGATCCACGAGGGCGGGGGGGGCGACCACGGGGAGGGCGGCACCACTCCTTGGAAGGTCACAGTCCACCTGGAACGTCGACCGCCAACTGAAGTGCGCAATTTGCTGGAGCTTGCGCGTCAAGACGGGGCGGCGTGTCCACAAAGTGACAGCTGTCTCCCTCTCGAACTAAGCTCTCGATCGCGAGGAGGAACGGGCGCAGATGCAACGTTGACGTTCATGACGAGGTCAAGCCATTGGATGCCAAATTAGTCCCGTTTTGTGGAAAGTCTCAATTACTCTGTGGGTAGAATGGCTCTCACCAAAGGAATTTTCTATGTTTACCCCTCATCGGTCGTGACAGCCACCCCATCGCTTATTTCAGCTGAGAGTTCACATTGTGGTCACTGAAGTGTGAAATGAGTGCTTGGCATGGTGGTGCCAATATCACCGTTGCTGGGAAAACGAAATAGTGTGCCGACGTTCACTGCTGGCTCTACCAATTATTGTTGTTGTAGTATAATTTATTTTACGAGGAGATAAAATATATGCCTTACTGATCGTCAAAGGTGCTTATGAGCGCATTTGCACCAATATTCTAACTATATTAATAAAGATAGAATTGTATATTGTTACCTGTGTGCTTATGATTTGGGGGAAAGTAGCCACATTGCACTAAGAGTTTTATTTCTGAGCCCAGATCATAATTATAATCAGTGACAAGTGATTATCTGAATCGGTTCGGGGCCTCCCCCCCCTTCACCAAACCCGTCCTGACCGTCGTGGTGAAGTATGGTCAAACAGCCTCCATGACCGACAGGGCGTGGGGGAGGCCTTCATCTATTCATGGATTGACAAGGTGCTGTAAATGATAATATATTTGTGATTGTGTTGGTGTTCTTTTGGTCTCCTTGTCTTCATTTTCACGTGCGTGCTTGCGCGCGCGTGCTTATACCTGTACAGCTGTTGGATGTGATCATGGTGCTGGAGCGGTCTCTGTCGGAGAAGGATGCGAAGTGGGCCGAGGCGTTGAAGGACGGGGCGGGCGAGGACCTGCCGGGCGATGGGGAGCGCGGTGACGTGCCCGCTCACGAGCTGCGCGTGCGCCTCGCTGCTGCCACCGAGATGTGCCAACAGCTCAGCCGCAGGCTTCGGCAGGACGGGCCGGGCAGCACGAGAGTTCGGGACGCCGTCAAGGAGGTATAATAACCGTCCCCCCGCCTTTGTGCCCAACGCGCCGATCGTGAGCGCGCGATGCCTGCCGTAAGTTGTCTTGCGCCGCTGTGGCGCTTTGGCGACCTGCGGCTCCGGAATGCCGCGTGCCGCCTCTTCACCGGCTGCTTCGTGACGTTATTTTTGAAGGAGCACCGTGTCATATGCACATTGCATTGCGGCTCTTGAAATATTTATTATTTTATACCGAATTTGAACAAAAAAATCGCTCTTCCTGTTATTTTGGTTGCCCAACTCCTGCTCTGCAATAATGTACGGTCCTGCCATGGTGCAACAGTGAGCGTTTTTGTAACTTTTTGACCCCGCCCCTACTGGACATGTTTGGAAAAAGATCTTCATAGCTCATCGGATTTCCTCAGGATAAATTAAGATTCTGATTCTGCTTGTACTGGACTTGCAATTCAGAGGGTCGCTGGTTAGATTTCACGATGGACTGGTGAGCACACGAGACTTGCAATCCAGAGGTTGCGGGTTTAGGGGCGAGATGTGAACTCCCTCGCCTGCGTATGCAGGAGGTTGTGGGTTCAATCCCGACCCTGACGCCTGTTGTATATTTAGAGTTTGCCTTTTTCTCCGTGTAGTCGTGTAGATTTTTCTCCGGGTCCTCCAGTTTTTGACTACTGCTATTTCCACGTGATAAGCCACTTCGAATGAGCTATCATTTGTGGCCAGATCGCTTCTGAAAAAGAGCTAAAAAGCTCCGTGGGCTTTACCTGGAAAAAAAAAAAAGTTTAAGTTTGTTCTCCCAGCACGGCAGTTGAAACGATGAGCAAGTATTTAACGCTTCCAGTTTTTACCACGCACTACTGCGGACATCTTCATCTCATTCGGCTCCTGAAGGTGCCCGCAGCAGTGCGTGGTGAAAGATTGCGAGAGGATACTCTCTGTACGTGGCCTAGCCTGGAAACAACAGTAGTTTGCGTAAAAATTCACTTTCAATTTCGAATCAAATATTTAACAAGATTTTGCCAGTGCTGTGACCATTACTACTGCGCTCGCAGGTTTGCAGAAACCAACAGGAGCGGTGGGACACGCGTGGAAAACCGGTCGTTGCACAAGTGCAATAAAACAAAAGCGGCTACTTGCATACCCACGTTCGCCTTGACTTCCACCCGTGGCCTTGCTGATACTCTGTTTGTCGTTAGTCAAATCAAGGTTAAATTGGAGCCCTGTGTGCGTGCTTGCGTGAGACAGGAGTGGTCAGGTGAAGAGGACCGTCAGCAAAAGGCGTTGCAGCGATTGGCTCAACTGGAAGAGGAGAACGAAAAACTGCGCAGCGACCTCAGTCACGTAAGCACAAAACGCCGCGGCGCATGACGCCTACTCTCAGCTTTCCAAGGTGCCGAGTTGAAAACCTCACAGGACTCCGTGACGAGGCCTCGGTGAACACTGTAATGTGCGTGCAGCTCCGATTGATGACGCAGGTCTTGTTGACGAGGTGCGAGAGGGGACTTTTACAGGTCATTGTCGCCAAGAGAGATGAAGGCCGGTGGTTGAGATGGAGCGATCACGTCCAATAGGACGTGGAGATGATGGAGCGATGAAATTGTCTCACGTGCAGGCGCGAGATTGATTATTACATTACAGGGGTGCTGAGGTGGCAAGACGTTTACTCCCTCACCTGGTATGCAGGAGGTCGTGGGTTGGATCCCGACCCTGACGCCTGCTGTATATTTGGAGTTTGCGTGTTCTCCCCGTGGTTGCGTGGTTTTTTTCTGGGTAATCTGGTTTTTCCCTCCACATTTTAGAATCAAGATGTGTGTAGAGTATTTGGCTGCTGTACATTTCCACGTGATAAGCCGCTTCCTTGAACTATCATTTGTGGCTAGGTCGCTTCTGAAAAAGAGCTACATAGCTCAGTGGGCCTTACCTGGTAAAATAAAAAAAAGGAAGGTACACATTTAAGATTACATATTGTATTAATGCCAGATTTTAAAATGTTACTCCTCTGCATACTCTCTGCCAACGCTCAGCACGTTGTCGTTAAGAAGTTCATCGTTACTTTGCCAACACGTTTTTTGTACCGCCACATGGCCCACGCTGCCCCGTCTCTGTGCCGCGCGGAGCAGGAGAGGGAGGAGAACGTGCGCTGGAGACATTACGAAGCCTCGCTGCAGGAGTGCATTCAGAGCCTGCAGTCGCAGGTCTTGCAGCTGCACGGCCAACTCGCCGCCGCGTCCGGCGAAGGCGGCGGCGCGGCGACCTCGAGCGACCCCGCGGACCCGCGGCACGGCGGCGAACCGGCGGCCTCCGAAGCGTCTTGGCGCCGGCCGGATCACGCCAGGGCCGTGCCGGTGGAGGCGCTGGACTCGAGCCAGTGGCGGAACCCCGGGGAGGCGAGGTCCGTGTGCTGCGGCGACGCCCTGCAGAGGCACTTCGACGCGGAGGAGTTGAACGCTCTGCGGGCGGAGGTAGCGAGACTGAAGGGCATGCTGGAGGAGATTCTCGGAGGCCAGGATGTGGAGGAGCTGGCCTCGCTGAGGGCCTTCGTGGGATCCCAGGAGAATAAGATCGCCAGGCTGCAGGCGGAGCTGCACAGGAAGGACGCAGCTCACAGGGAGCTGCACGCAATGTTGCGGAAAGTGGAGGTGGAGCGGGCGGATGAGCGCAAGTCTTCAAAAGATTACAAGGAAAACATTGACTTGCTGAAGCAGCAGGTGAGTGATCCTCGTAGCTGGAACATTCGCGGTCAACGATGATGGTGGCGCTCGTTTTGATAAATGTGCTGTAATTGCGTAGGTTATCCGTGGTTGTGTAGGCTATCCGTGGTTGTGTAGGTTATCCGTGGTTGCGTAGGTTATCCATGGTTGCGTAGGGTTATCCGTGGTTGTGGAGGTTATTCGTGGTTGTGTAGGCTATCCGTGGTTGTGTAGGTTATCCGTGGTTGTGTAGGTTATCCGTGGTTGTGCAGGTTATCTGTGGTTGCGTAGGTTATCCGTGGTTGTGTAGGTTATCCGTGGTTGTGTAGGTTATCCGTGGTTTTGTAGGTTATCCGTGGTTGGGCAGGGTTATCTGTGGTTGTGTAGGTTATCTGTGGTTGTGTAGGTTATCCGTGGTTGCATAGGTTATCCGTGGTTGTGTCGGGTTATCTGTGGTTGTGTAGGTTATCCGTGGTTGTGTAGGTTATCCGTGGTTATGTAGGTTATCCGTGGTTGTGATGCTGCTGCGTAGCTCGGCGATGTGTTTTCAAGTCGTCCCGCCTGTTGTTTGGCACGATGTCCGACGTTTCGCTCCACGTACCGGCGGCTGCTTCAGCACGTGGAGCTAAACGTCGGACAACGCACGGCACAATGCAAAACCACAATGGAGGGCTCATGTCATTTCCTCTGTTTTCATGCAACAAGCCTGGTTACAGTGGCCACGTGGAATGCAGTGTATACACTATCACTTCCTGTATTTCCTGGCTGATGCACGATTTGATCAGCTGCTCAGAGGGTTGAATACAGCTGCATGCAGTACGTTTCATTGGATGCACCAAAGCGACGTGTGGCAGAGTTTGTACAAATGCACTTGTGTTGAGCTGCGCTAAACCTGCCGTGCTTTATTACATCCACAACGTTGACCGCACGAGACTTGACGATCGTGCGCCAACTCCTGGCTTTCGCGTTTTGTGCATTACATCTTTTATACCATTTACATACAAGGAGGGATGTTAAAATCCTGTGCTTATTCTAGAGCGATGGGTTTAGTCGACATTCCAGGCAAGGTGTTTACAAGTTTTCCAAAATTATGAAGAGTTGGTCGGCGATACTGAAATTGATCAGGTTGTCGGTGGTATGTGTAAAGAGGGCGATGATGCTCATAATGAAAAACGGCAGAGAGGCTCACCTTTTTTAGAAGATGTTTTGGTCGGTAATATACATACATTATGTACATACATATTACGTATGTTGATTAACTGTGAATAACCCAACTAATAATAGAGATGCATTGTAATTTATATGACTAACTTAACCCCCCCCCCCCCCTCTGAGCTTCGCACCCAATTGGCTCACAAATGACGACATCACATTTACCCCCAACTCTATTTAAGACTGAAACAGGAGGAGGATTTCTGCACAATTCTGGCTGTCGCCTGATGAAGCTGGTTGTTGTAATTATCGGCGAAGTGTCGTACTCAAATGGTAAATGTTGTGGGTTTACTCTCCAACACACCCGGTGTGAACGTTTTGTTTACGTGACAAACCTTACTATACTCTTTGGTTCTTTCGGTAAAGTCACTTAGGTAGAAAAATATTATAAAAATAAAAAAATATTTTTCACGACGTTTCGGTCGCATCCCCGCACGCAAGCACATCAGTTGTGTTAATGGGGGAGATTAGGGAGAGAGATTAGCATGTCAAAGTAAATGAGCTTCCGTCGCCGCATAAGAGCACCGTAGCCGCATGTGCGCACAGCATCAGTGTTAATGGGAGATTAGCACTATGTTAATGGGAGAGATTGTGTAACACAAGCTGCGGTGCTGCCAACTGTGCTGTGAGAGGCAAGCGCGTCAACGCAAGAGAACCACCGCAACATACTAATTAACCATATCAGGTGGTGGCAGGTTTAACGACACATTTATATTTATGCGATTAAATAAATAAATAAACCTTATGGATGACGATGATGATGACGACCACCTCTGCCTGCACCGTGTGCTGACCGTGAGAGCAGATGATCATATACCAAGAGGACTTCAGGTCGGAGAGGAACGACCGCGAGAGGGCACAGGCGTCTATCCAGAAGCTGCAAGAGGAAAATGCGAAGCTACGCCAGCAGGCCTCCGTAAGAAGCCAGTCCACACCCACCAGAGTCGTGTTTTTCACTGATATCTCCTTGTCGCGTCACCGCTTCTCTCTGTATGTACAGTAATGTATGTGTAGTGACTGTGAATGTCACTGTGTGGTGCCGGGCTTGCGAGGCCACGGCGGTTAATGTGTTGTCATTATGTGTAGCCCGCTTACTGGGCGTAGTACCACCAGCCCTAGCGGGGCTTGGGTGACCGCTGGACAGTGCAGAGGCACCACGTACAGTGTGCGGTGCGGGCTCCCGGTGAGGGAGCGAGAGGGAGTGTCAGCCAGCCAGGGTTACATTGGGATATGATACGCTGGTTGACCTGCCGACACGTGACTGGATGATATTGGTGGGGGGCCACCGGTGGACGGGGGCCGCTGGGTGGTCACGTGGTATAGAGTAGCTCTTGGGAGCCTTCGGGAAAGAGCTCGAGAGATCTAGAAGGTGGGCGGGGTGAGAGGCGGAGCCATTTTCAGCCCGGGCCGATATACCTGGGGGCCCGTGAGGGGCTCGGGGTTCTTCGGGTTGTTGGTGAAGAAAATCCACGTCGGGTTGAAGAAGCCTCTAGCCATGCGGTCCGGGACCCAGCTCGTGGTCCAGACTGGGATAGTGGGACTGTGTCTAGCTCTGCCGTAGTGTGGTTAGATGGGTGTTCAACACCCGAGTGTAGGTCACGTTATGTTGTGTTGTGTTGATGTAATAAATAGTGTTGCTCCCAAGACAACGTCAGCGACTCGGTTGGACTCACTACATATGCAAGAGGTCCGCATACTTGCTGCTCTGATCGACGATAATGTACAACTCCGGCTTAATCCATCTGAGGTTCCAGTTCGATTTAAAAAGTGTCAAAACATGAACTTGTACGTATGCATGTTGAACTTTTTTCGTGCCACGCCAATCAAAGGTGCAGGGGAAGGACAACAAAAACTGAATGCAAAAAGCAGTACGAAAGAAATTAGTTTTCAAATTAGATTTCAAAGTGCATAACTCCAGTAGCTTCCTAATAGCCAGTGGCCTGTGTGTCGCTGCGTCTTTCAACGCAGACAGCTTCCATCCCGTCCAGCATTTGATGTTTGATGTCCATTCAGACAAAAAATCTTTGGTTATTTTACCAGATAATGCTCACTGAGATAGTTATCTCTTTTTCAGAAGCGACCTGGCCACAAATTATAGCTAAACGAAGTGGCTTGTCATGTGGCAATTTATCGCAGCCAAATAATCCAAACGCATTTTTCTAAATGTGAAGAGAGAAACTGGAGGACCCGGAGAAAATTTCACACGACCACGGGGAGAGAGACATGCCAACTCCAAATATACAGCAGGCATCAGGGGTTGGGATCGAACCCACGACCTCCTGTACACCAGGCGAGGTAGTTAACATTCTCGTCCATCAGCACCTTCCACTGTTCCTGCCATCACTATCCCCTGCAGCTGGTCACCACACTGATCACCTGTCCGAAATTTTGGAGTTTCGTGACCTACTGGCCGTTAGTCCTTGGCTGATGTTCCCAACGCTAAAGCATTATAATTCGCTGTTGTTTGCCAAACATCATTTAACCTTTATGGCTTTATAGTTGCACGGTGATCGTGACTTTGCGCCTGGTGAAATGTAGTGTGAATCAGCATTCATTGAGTAGAAAACCATGTTCACCCAGCGGTACCGATGGCTACACTGGCCAGTGTGGAAGAGTGGGACAAAATACCCTTCTGCCAGCAGTACCGAATGTCAACGTTTTAGGCGCTAGTGTGATCATGTTTTCGATCCCGACCCTGATGCCTGCATATTTGGAGTTTGCAAGTCTCTCTCCCCGTGGTTTCGTGGATATTTCTCCGGGTTGTTTGTTTTTCTCTCAACATTTAGAAACGTGCGTTCGGAGTATTTGGCTGCTATAGATTTCCACGTGATAATAAGCCACTTCGTTGAGCTACCATTTTTGGCAAGGTCGCTTCTGAAAAAAAGCTACATAGCTCAATGGACCTTACTTGGTGGAATATTTTTTCAAATAGGTTTTCAATCTGCGTATGGATGTGTTTGTGTGCGTTTGTGTTTGTGTGCGTTTGTGTTTGCGTGCGTGTGGCCTCATAAGAGCTTGGAGAGGATGAGCCCCAGAGCTATGGAGGGCGGTGGGCCCCATCGATCGGACAGGCTCAACCCTGACATCGAGCCGGCTGAGCGCGTGGCTGGGCAGGCGTCTCCCGAGGGCGCCACACCAAGACCAAGAGATGAGGCGCTGGGCTGGCAGGGCGCCCGGAGGTATTGAGGCTGTGCTGTTGGCCCAGCCTTAGCGAGTGAGGGTGCGCAAGCGAGCTCATGTCTTGAGCGTTCGAGGTTCCCAGCTACCCAGCTTCCCGATGGCGTTCGGGTCGAACCGCACGTTGGACAGCTTCGTGGTCCATCCTAAACCACATCTGCTGCACAAACCGTGGCAGCAGCGTGCGACCGAGGTCATCCAGAACAGACCGTACAATGCATAACGATGCAAATGCCCGATCCACAAATACGAAGGAGACATCGCAGCGATACAACCCTGCTCGTCCTGACGTCTGAATTGACCATCTGAATGTGAAATTGTAGTCGTTCTGTATTTACATCAGCCGTACGAACGAAGAAAGACGTCTAGGTTTTGCTCCACGTGCTGGTCAAATCCGCAATGAGAAAACCCGCGATGGGCAAAGTCTTAAGTGTATATCGTGTTACATATACTCCTGAAGTGCAGTGTATCGTCCGCACACACAAACAATACTAAATGTTTATATAATACACTAGCTTTACTACCCGGCTTCGCCCAAGACCTAGGATACTTGTCTTGGATTAATACACGGCCTACGCGGAGGGTGGGGGGGGGATGCGTGACGTCAACAGGCAAACTGCGTCACGCTGCCGCATGCGGGTGACATCACAGATTTCGAACAGACACACCTATTCACAAATTTCCCTTTTATATATTTAGAATTATGCTAAAATATTCAGATCTACTGTGTGACATGTATTGGGAGGCCAACCATGTCCTTTGACCAGCAGCAAACATAGTAGCATTGCATTTCATCCCAACATTCGCTCACTTTTAAAAAGCACGACACTAATTATTTCTGGGTATAAAATCTCTCAAGTTCGACTTTGTTGCGGAATGGAGCCCCAGGGGAACTCATCCGCAGATCTTAAAGTCCGACGCAGTGCCCCACCACCCCATTTGTCAAGTTTGGATTGAAATAGATATTCTTTCAAAAATAAGCATCATATGTGTGGTTTGAAAGACATGTTTATTTAAGACTCAGATTTACTTGAAAAAAAGTGATTTTACAAACGTCAATGTAAAAAAAAGTTATCTTTTAACTTTCCTCTTAGCATATAGTTAATGCTTGTTTTGCACGTTGTCATTTATGTTGTGATGTGTACAGTATTCCCTCGTTATTCGCGAACTCTCTATCCACGATTTTGGCTATCCGTGAATTGCATCTGGAACTCTACACGACAACTGCATCGAGAGAAAGAGATAAAGTGATGAGAGAGCGAGAGAGAACTTCTCAAATTTTTAGAAGTGTCTGCAGACGTTGCGTGTACGATAACCATAGGCCAATATCGTTTACCGCGGAATTTGCTATTCACAAGCATTTCCGGAACGTATCCTTCCTCGCGAATAACGAGCGAAAAGCTGTACTCAACACCATTGTGCATTTTGATAAAAGCATCCAAATTGGGGTGTTTTTTTCTGTGTGCAATATCTATTATATTACTCCTTGGTTATTTCGGTAAAGTCACGTAGAAAGAAAATATCTACGTGACTTTACCGAAAGCACCAAAGAGTAATTCCTGCAGTCACGAAAGCTTCAAGTCTATAATATTGCTGCAGATCTCTTCAGAACGTGCGCTTGGAGTACTCGGAAGGAGCTGTTATAATTGGGCCCGGTGCAGTGTCCAGGCCTGCTCAGGGCCCCCCGTGGAAGCAAGAAATCCGCCGCCATCGGCCGAGGCCACGCGTCTCGTTGGACGCTGCATTTCTGATGATGATCATGAGCAATGTATGTAGGACTTATTTTGCACCGTACATAGCCAAACATGCTATTCAGAGCTGAGGGGGGGGGGGGGGGCGAAGCAGCCACGGGTCATCTTCGAGATCAAGGGTATTATTTTAGATGAGTTGGAGTAAGTTCCTATTGAGCTCGCAAACAAAATGGCCAAATCACAGAATCTGATTTGATCGTTTCTTGATTGAAATTGTATATTCTTTCTGCCTTGTCCTTCACGAAGTTAGATATCAGATGTTTTGGTGGTGGCCCCTCTTCAGATGAGGGGGATAAATCGATTTTGTGGTTGGAGATCACACTTCAAGTGTGGTGGCATTGAGAAAGTTAAAATGTTAAAGATGGCTGCCAGAGGAGCACATGAGATGTGTTCACGTCTCAGCCACGCACACCTCTGCAATTCACCCGTACACGAGTCCACCTCCACGAGGGGAGCTCTGGGTATCTACTGTTATCGTGTTTTTTTCCCGATTGTAGTAATCTGTCTTATTTATAATATTCAGCTTTATTACTTTTAAATGATAGTACCTTAGTTACATTGATAGTTTAAACAAAATGGCTTGTATTCTCTATATTACAAGTGTTGGGAATTCATCTAAATTTTATTTTATGTAACATGCTCAAAGATGCCTCCACTGTGGTGTATAATAAAGATTATTTAATGTTTGTAAATGATGTAAACACCTTTTAAGATATTTGGTAGAAAATAAATCCTTTAAAAGTAATATTGATTTGTGACAATATATTTAACCATTTTCATTTAAAAAAATGTTTGAAAGTGACTACCCATGATAAAGTCACCAGGAATGTATTTATCCCATTGGAGATCAGGAGCTAACCTGGATAGTGTCTGGATGGTCGACCACCGGGCACAGATCCATCCCCCATATAGCCTTCATAGGCTTGTGGAGCAAGTGCTGTTAGCGAGCACCTGTGAAGTCCGGCGCGGCACACGAGGGTGTTGGGTGGCCAGCAAAGTCAATGCCACCGTTGTCAACTCGTGGGGAATGGGGAGCCATTGTGTACGTTTGGTGTGTGTCTTTGTGTACGCGCTGCGCTATGAACCTGACGACCCGGGTTCGATTCCCGTTCATGGCTAACACCAGTGACGATTATCTGAACCGGTCCTGGGCCTCCCCTAGGTCGACTCAGCCTCAAATGAGTACCTGGTGCGATGTGCAAACATTACTACTGGGGAGACAAAGGCGGTCGGGCGTGGTGCTGGCCACTCACCCCCTCGTGTGCCGTTCCAGCCTTCATAGGTGCTCGCTAACAGCACTTGCTGTTACAGTCTGTTAAGGCTATATGGGGGATCTTTGTCTGTGTACATCAGTGGGGAGTGGTGGTGCAGTGGTGAGAGCACGACGCTGTGAACCTGGCGACCCGAGTTGGATTCCCACTCACGGCCAACATAGGTGACGAATATCTGAACCGCTTCTGGGCATCAGCCTTAAAATAAGTGCCTGGTGTGTGAATGTGGGGGCCGACGTCTGCCCTTTCCACTCCCTCCTCCACCGCGTCGATCGGCCCCCGCCGACCGGGTGATCGGGCCCCCCTGCGTTAGCGCCCCCTCTGAGGGACATCGCTAAATCTCTGGCTCACCGCCGCGTGGGGTTATTCTACACCCGCACACCAACGCTAATGCTACAGCGGCGCGAACACGTGCGCACCTGTAGGCGATTATTGTAACGAGCGCTCAGGCTGCGGGGCTCTGCCCTCACTCTCGCCGCTCGTCCGCCCACGCAGCTGCTCCACCACACACACACAAATCACACTGCACCGATGCTCTGTGCTAATGTCTTTATTCGCGGCGCAAAAAACTCTGCACTGCCCGGAGGAAAATATTTCGCGAGAAGAGCCTCGCCTAACTCTGCCTACCTACCCAAGCACTCAAACGTCCTACCACGCACCTCGAAGCTGTACTCACGGCGTCGCACGGAGGCTGTGAGAGTCAGAGGGAGGACGAGAGAGAACTTTACCTATCACTGCTTCGTAGCAGCACTCATCACATGGATGCTGGGGAGCAGGGAGTGGGTCTTGACGGCCCAGAGGTTGAAGACAAGAGACCGAAAATCGTCCTGGGTCACTCTTTTTATTCCTTAAATTTCAAAGGACCAAGGGTGACGTCGCCAATCGTGCGCTTACCTGCGCTGTTGCTACTTAGGAACTTTTTCTCCCGTGGCCTAATCCCCTCGCTTCAAAGGGCCGGGATGGCGTTTGTCCCATGCGACCAATCGTGCGCCTACCTGTGGTTACTGCCCCCTTGTTACCGGCCACCCATTGTCCCTCGTTGCCCATTGTCTAGAAAGGCGCCCGGCTGGCGAACACAAACCCCGCGAGAGTATTCGGTGAGGCCGAGATGAGGGTCGGCGGTAGTGCGGCGTTGTAACTCATTGTGGTTGGCCCAAGGAACCTTTTCTGGCTGCACCCATACAATTTTAGGGGCACCGCAATGTAACCTGTCCTGCAAGGGTCGGCCAATCTCCTGGCACCGGGAAACCATGGGAATTCCCCTCTAGGGGCCCTTCGGATTAAAACCCGATGTGCCAGGCAATCCCCCGCCAGGACACTACGTGTGTGCGCTGCGTGTGGGTGTGTGTTTAGTGCAGGGGCCAGGAGTCACGGTGCTTGGCACCACATAAACATCAACACTGGGGAGACAACGGCAGCCGGGCATGGTGTTGGCCTTCCCCATCCTCCTCGTGCCGGCTTTATTCGGTACGCACTTACCACAAGAGTTTAAGGCTATAGGAGGGATCTTTGTCTGGGTGTGTACGTATCTTAAGTACGAACCCAGGAACTCGTGGGTTCAGGCATGGGGTACAAGGTGCTGCGGGTTTGAGCACGAAGTCGAGCATTGGATTTTAGGTGTTGCGGTTGTTTGTGTAAAGTAGTAACTCGGCGGGAGACGACTTCACGGGTAGCACACTCTTTTATTTCACCAACTTATAGTTACACGGGTGACTAACACCCACTTAGTTACACGGGTGGCTAACACCAGCCTAACCCACACAGTTCTCCTGGCTACACCGACACGGGCTCTTACGCCCCGTAACCTCTCGGAACACACCCGGCCAGGGTGTCCGTCTCGACTCTGGGTCCCACCGTCCCGACCCACACGGGCGTCGGACCACGGGTCCCACAGTCTCGGCTCCGAGCCTCACAGGGCCCCGGTCCTGACAAGGACGGCGGGACTAGGGGTCTCGGGCCACTACCTCCTCCACTCCGTCTTCGATCTTCAACTGGTTAACAACAACCCCGAGTGCTCTCGCGCGTCCCCCTTTAAGCACCTCCTGCGGACGTCGCTGAGAGCACCCATCCCATTTGACCAATCACTGGGCGCTGGCTACGATCCTCTTTTCGCACCTCGTGTCAGCGCGCCTCACCACCGGCGCGCGCGTCCAAACCACGCCCACATCGCGTGCCCAACCCCGCGCCCCGTGCCGCCCCGTGATCCATCACTGTCGGCGCACGTCAACACCACCACTACATCACCCCCTACCACATAGCTCGCAGCCGACCCGGCTGCTACAAAAACATACAACACCCCCTCCCCCCCATGTGTGCCCCGTAACACAAGAACAACATAACAACACAACACAACACGAACACCGCCATCCGCAAAAATCAGCAAATGCCACTACAACAGCAAGAACAATATGTACAATCCGGCGAGTGACAACAATAAATGTGTATGCAGAAAGAGAACATTTTTTTATTTTTTTTCTTTCTCTTCTTTCCGACTCGTGCAGCGTCCCATTCTTTCCGAGCGTCCCTTGAACGGGACATTACCCCGGCAGAGGGGAACACGGCGGCGAGGTCGGGTTTGAAATTTTTTTTTTTTTTCTCATGAAAAGTGTTGTGTCCTAGCCCGAGTCCGCCTTGCCGGTCCGTCGTATGGCACCAGACTCGGTTGACCGTCCGGTGGTGCCGGCAGTTCAGGAAGGCATGGGCCAGGCATCGGGGCTCCGTGCGTGCCGCGGGGTTCCGGTTCCCGACGGTCAACAGCCGTCAGGTCCGAGACACCTGGGGGTGGGTCAGGTGGAGACACGTGAGGATCAGCCTGCGACACATCCCTCCCCGAGTCGACGGTCACATCACACGCTCGGTCGTTACGGCATAAAACGGGGTCACGCGGTGCCGCGTAGGGTTTCAGTCGGGAGGGGTGCACGTACCAACGGCGTTTTTCCCATTTAATCTGTATACTCTGGGGTCGTGCAACCCGCACAATTTCCACCGGTCCCCTCCATGGTCTCAACAATTTGGGGGACGTAGCCAACGGTGCATGTGGACAATGCAGCCAGGCCTTATCGCCTGGTTTCCAATCGTGCGTATGCACCCTCCGTCCATGCAATCTCTCGTTCGCGATCTGCCGAGACCGCGAATTCAATCTCGCAGCCTCTCGCGCTTCAGCCAATTTGGCGATATTAAACTTGATGTGGTCTGCCAATTTAGATTTTGCACGTGGCTGGGAAATCCCCAGTTGGACGTCCATGGCCGGATCGGCCTCCCGCCCATACATAAGAAAAAATGGGGAAAACCCCGTCGCCGCATGAGGGGCCATTCGATAGGCAGCGAGTACCCCCGGTACCTGTAAGTCCCAATCCACCTGATCGTCGCAGACCTGTTGGCACAGCATAGACGTAATCGTCCTGTTCAGACGTTCAACCATTCCGTCAGTCTGCGGGTGGTACGGGGAGGTACGCACTTTCTTTGTACCCAACAGGTCGCACACCTCGCGCAACAAGACGCTCGAAAATTTTTTCCCTTGGTCCGTCAGCAAGCGTTCAGGGGCGCCCTTGTCCAAAACATAACCTTGGACAAAGGCGTCCGCCACTGCCGCAGCCGACTGGTTGGCGAGTGGCCATGCCATGGGCCAGCGGGTGAAGTACTCTACACCAACCAGCAGGAACTTATTTCCCCTAGGTGTAGCGGGAAAGGGCCCCAAGATGTCTAACGCAACCAATTCGTTTGTGCGCGAGGCCTGAATGGATTGCAGCGGTGGATTAGCCGCTATTGGTGGCGGTTTTCTTTGGGCGCACCCTACACATCCCTTAAGAATGTTCGCCACGTCGTTGCCCATCCCCGGCCAATAATAGTCTCGCTGGATTAGGGCGAGCGTTTTGTGAAAACCCAGATGCATGAGTCGTTCATGAGCAGCCAGAACGACCCTACCCCGCATAGCAAACGGCACAACGAGCGCGTGACGCCGGGACATGTTGTCCCACTTCATCAAGAGGCCCTGTCTGCACACCCAGGAACCGACCCGCGTTTCCCCTCCCTCGGGAGCGTCAACCTTCCGACGTAGCGTGAGTAGGGAGCTGTCGGCCATTTGGAGACGGCCCCACTCGATGAGAGGCAACGCTAACAGCGAGTCCCTCCCCGTGGGAGCGTCGACCCCCGCAGTACCAGTGGCGGCGAGCACAACTTCCGCGGGGACGGCGACAGGGGTTTTACACCGCGCCGATCCCAGCAGACATGCGCATTCCGTGCGCGGCGGCAACCACGACAAGGCATCCGCATTCGAGTGGCGCAATCCCTTACGGTAAATCGTCGTAAATTGGTAGTCCTGAAGGACCTCCAACCATCGGGACAATTGGCCGGATGGCTGCGCCACCCGCATGGCGTATTGAAGAGCCGCATGGTCCGTACGAACCGTAAAATGACGGCCGTAAAGATACGGCCTGAATTGCTGTATAAAAAACACAATCGCCAGCAATTCACG